TCAGGGGGAGGGGGCGGAGGGGGAGGGGGAGGTGCGGGGGAGAGGAGTAGCGGGAGAGGGCGCAGAGGGGGGGGTACACCACTTGAGTCCCCTACCTCCCCCCCGCCGTCTCCTTTGTTTGAGGGGTTGACTGGTGGAAGTGTTACTGGGGTGGGGACTGGTTCTGGGGGAGCAGGGGGAACGGGGGGAAGGGGGGAAACGGGTAAAACGGGAAGTGCACGAGAGGAGCTAGGAGGGGCACCGTTGCTTGCAGGGACCCCTCTAGAAAGAGTGCAGAAACCAGCATCACCTGCTGCTAGTTCCGCATTCGGTTCTGGTCTGGGATCTGCCTTTGGTTCGGGCTTTGGTTCGGGCTTGGGTTCTGGCTTCGCTGCTTCCGCGTCTTTATCCCCCGGCCTGCGGTTCCACGGGCGGCAAATGTCGGCGCCACCTGCCGAGCTGCTGGAGATGAGCGGCGGGCTGGGCGGCGGGGGAGGGTTTGGAGGACTGGCTGCCGCCCAGCTAGTTGCTATGAAACGGTTGGAAGCGGCTAAGAACTTAGGATTGCTACCTAATGCAGGTGGGGCTGAGGACGGGGCGGGCAGTGCTGGTGGTGGTGGTGGGGAGGTGGGAACTGGGGGCGGTGCTTCCCCTGGGAAGGATTCGAGCCCGAGGGGGGGTGTGAGAGGGGGAGGAGGGAGCGTGGTAAGTCCGGGTAGAGAGCAGCAGCAGCAACAGCAGCAGCAGAAGCAGGGTATCAGTGGGGCCACAGGAGCAGGAGGAGGTGGCGCAGCAGAAGCAGGGGCGACGTTTCATGTTCCCACCCCTCCCCCACGCTCCCAGCTCCCAGCCAATCGCTCCCCTGCCCAACGCCTAGCCGCCTCTGCTCTCGTCCGCCACGCCTCAGTAGACCTCTCCGCCCTGCGGGGCGGATCCGGGGGAGGCTTTACCTGGGGCAGCGCGAATCCCAGATTCGCTGTAGACAGACTCAACATGCTGGGGACTTCCCTAGGTCCCACCTCCCCCGGGTCACCCTCCCCTGGTTCCCCCTCCTCCCGCTCCCACCACTCTCTTGCGCCGAACCTCCGTCCACAGGTCCCGTGGCTGCCGGCCACCGACCCTGAGCTGGCAAACCTGCCGGTTCGGAGGTTTGGTTCGGGGATTCCAGGCCGGGGGGCAGGCTCGGTGACGATGAGTGAAGCAGAGTTGACTGCGTTTGTGAAGGGGACTCCTCCTAGTGGGCTCGGGAGGACCCTTAGTGGGATGGCGGGATTGGCTGGTCGCACTGGGGGTGGGGGTGGTGGTGGTGGTGGTGGTGCTGGAAGTGGTGCCGGTGGTGGTGGTGGGGGTGGTATAGGTGCCAGTCCTCTTGGAGGCGGTGGTGCTGGTGGTGCTGGTGGTACGAATATTCACAGCCTAGGGGAGGGGGTGCCTCGTCTCATGTCTTCCATTCTCATGGAGGAAGGCGGGGTTTCTGCTTCTGCTGCCAGGGGCGGCACTCACCTGGGCGGCAGTCCTCTGGGCGGCAGTCCCCTTGGGATCACCCGCACCGCATCGCTTTCGCCGCCCAATTCTGGGGTGGGTGGGGGGAGGATGCTTCCTCCTCATTTCCTCAGGTTGACTCTCGGCCGGGTTGGTGAAGCGGCAGGGGAGGGAGGAGGCGGAGGCGGAGGAGGAGGGGGAGGAGGAGGAGGAGGGGCGGCAACAGCAGGAGGAGCAGGAGGGTCAGGAGGAGGGGGTGGCGGAGGAGGGGGTGGAGGAGGAGGGGGAGGAGGGGGAGGAGGAGCATGGGGAGGAGGATGGGAGGGAATTGTGGCCCATAGAAAGACTGGCAGCTTATCCCTCCTCTCCCGAACCAGCTCCGCCGCACCCAGCTTCGGCACAGCCTCGCCAGCCGGAGGCTCGGCAGCAGGCTCGGCAGCAAATTCCCCTCTAGGAAGCGTGTCCTCCGGATTCAGCCTAAGTCCCGGACTGGCCACTCCCCCCTCTCCCGCATCCTCTTCCGAAGCCCCATCCCCTGTCCCTCACTCTCCTCTCGCTCCTCTCTCCCCACTCTCCCCGCTCTCTCCTCTCCCTTCCTCCGTCCTCTCCCTCTCGCCGCTCTCCCCGCTCTCCCCCCCGGCCCGTACTCTCTCCTTTGGTGGGTTCTTCCCTCCGGGGGATGACGGGGCTGGGGGAGCTGGCAACGCTGCTGCTGTTGCTAATGCCAGCACTGGCACTGAGCGGAATGAGCATACTGCAGGTGGTGCCTCTGGTGACGCTGGTGGTGCTTCTGCTGCAGCAGGAGGGGTTGGGGGAAACACTGGTATGGGAGGCAGTACGGTTACATCAGACGACGGCAGCAGCAGCGGTTACATCTCCGCAGGTACGCGTGGCGGTTACGTGTCATCTGGTGGCGGAGCGGGCGGCGGTTACATGTCATCTGGTGGTACCGGGGGCGGCAGTTACATGCCATACGGTGGCGGCATGGGTGGCGGCATGAGCGGCGGTGGGGGCGGCGGTTACATCTCCGCATCAGACGACGAGAGTGTCCACGGGCGGCTGGACAGGTGGCGGGAAAAGGGACTTGATACGAACACAGAGGGCGAAACAACAGAGGGGGATTACGACACAGAGAGGGAGGAGAGGGAGGAGGCGAAGAGGAGGGAGAGGCAGGAGAGGTTATGGCGACTGGAAAAGAAGGTGGAGGTAGAAGAGTATGATACGGACCAGGAGTTGGAGCTTCGGCGGGAGGAACGGCAGCTGGCTCGGCAGCAGGCTCGGGAGAAGAGGTTAGGGTTGGCAGCAGAGATGATGAAGGCGGAGATTGAGAAGGCTGCAGCTGCGGTGGGAGGTTTGGGAGGAATGGGAGGAGGTATGGGAGGAGGCATGGGAGGAGGTATGGGGGGAGGTATGGGTGGGAATGGCATGGGCATAGGCATGGGGATGGGAATGGGGAGGGAGGGTGAGGGGGATCGATTTATGAGGGGGAATGAAGCAACAGATACGCATGAGCATGGGCGTGGGCATGCACATGGGCATGGGCATGAGCATGGCTCATCGCACGTCCGGCGACTTTCGGGAGGTAGTGGTGGGGGGGCGGCAGCAGCAGCTTCGGGCGGCACAGCAGCAGGTTCGACAGCAGGAACGGTTGGCGGTTTGGGGAGTCAAATAAGCCTTGGGCTAGGACTGGGGGACAGTATCGCTGCTGGTGCTTCTCTGGGTGGTGCTTCTAACAATCGTGCTTCTAACACGCCCTCTTTAATAGCACATGGTCCCCTGGGCAGCCCTCTAGGAGGAAGCCCCTTGCACAGCCCCCTAGGGAGTCCCCGCGGGGGGAGCCCCCTAGGGGGAAGCCCCCTAGGGGGAAGCCCCCTAGGGGGAAGCCCATTGGGGGGAAGTCCTCTAGGTAGCCCTCTCAGCAGCCCCCTGGGTAGTCCCCTCAGTACGGGCAGCAGCGGTGGGTTCGGTGGGTTCGGTACGGGCCTGCTCCGAGGCTTGGGAAACAGCTTCGGCGGGGAGATGGCTGTAGGTTCGGGGTATGGGCGGCGGAGGAAGCACAGGAGGGGGTCAACGCTGGGGGAATTGACTGAGACAGAGTGGGAGGGGACGGATAGTGAGTGGGAGGAGGGGATGGAGGAGAGACTAGCGAGGATTCAGAGGGAGGAGAGGGAGAAGAGAGAGAGGGATGCTGCTGCTGCTGCTGCTGCAGCGGCGGCGGCAGCAGCGGCTTTGGCAGTTGGGGAAGGAGGGAGGGGGAGAGGGGGAGAAGGAGGGGCGGGAGGGAGAGAGGTGTTGAGTAGTGGGGAGGAGGACGGATTGAGGCGGTTCGGAGGGCCGCTAGGAGGTTCGGCGGAAAACCTGGCTGGTTTGGGAGGAGGCTCGGGTGGAGGTTTGCCGGGAGGTCCGGGGGGACGCTCGGCAGGGAACCTGGTAGGCCTGGGAGGAGGTTCGGGAGGAGTTTCGGGAGGAGGTTCGGGAGGAGGTGGAGGAGGTATGGGAAGTGGTTCGGTTTCCATGCAGAGTGACCTGCCTAGGGGGTTAAGTATGAACAGGAGAGGCTCGATTTCTAAGGAGGACTTACTTGCTGCTCTTGTTCCTCTAGGTTCTAGTAAGGATGGAGAGAGAGGAGAGAGAGGAGTAAGCAGCAGGGAGAGTGGAGACGAGGGAGGAGGGGCATTTGGGAGGAGCAGTGGTGCGGGAGGGGGTAGGGATGTTGGGTTGGGGAATGGGGAGTGGGGGGGGGCTGGTCGGGGGAGTGAGGGGAGGGGAGAAAGGGGTGGGGATGGGAAGGAGCAGGAGCAGGGTGGGGGGAGGGGAGTGAGTGTTGGTTCGAGTGCGGGAGTGTCAGATAGTGGAAGCGGTGGGGTGTTTTTCGAGATTTCTCTTGAGGCTGGTGACAGTGCGGAGAGTGCTTATAGAGAGGCGGCTTCTAACGAGTATTCTCGGGGAGGGAACGCAGCTCTATCCCCCACTTCCCCTCCCGGCCAATCACAGTCGTCCGTTCTGGGTTTTCCCTCTAAGGTAACTTCGGAACAGGATTTGTTAAAGAAGAGGTTGAATCCGCTGCGAGTGTGGTTAGCGGAGCAGACTATCGAGAGTACGGTTGCTGGTGCTAAAAGCCCGGAGCGTGATGGAAAGCAGGAAGATTTAAGTGCCGGCGTGAAGAGTTCAAATATTGGTGGGGGGAGTGGCTTTGGGAGGGAAGGACAAGGAAATTCAGAGGTAGGAGGGGGAGGCGGAGGGGGAGGGGGAGCAGCAGCGGGGGGGAAAGGGGGATTAGGGGGGTTGGGAAGTGGGCTGGCGGGATTAGCTAGTCTGCAAGGGCTGTTAGGTGGAGGGGGTGCGGGAGGAAATGGGATGGGGGGTGGGATGAATGGGGGATTCGAAAGGGAAGTGGGAGGGAGAATGGAAGGGAGAGGAGGAGGAGGAGGAGGAGGAGGGGGAGGAGGAGGGGGAGGGGGGGGGGGGGAGGAGCAGAGAGAGCAGGGGGAGCAGGGGGAGCAGGGGGATTAGGTGGTCTGGGCAGGGGCTTGGCAGGGCTAGCAAGCTTGCAAGGGCTCCTGGGTGGGGGGGCAGCGGGTGCAGGGGCACGGGAGGGGATGAATGGGGGAGGGGGAGGGGGACAGGGTGTGGGGACCATTGGAGGGCAGTTAGGGGGGGAGAGGGGCCGCGCAATCAATTCATTGCAGCAGCAGCAGCTGTTGCAAGCGTCTACAGATCAAGCTTTAGCCCGGTTTGAACGGCTGGCTGCTGGTGGCACTAGTGACGCTGCTGCTGCTGGATCCTCCACAAGTGCAGGGCAGGGACAGGAACAGCAGCAGCAGCAGCAGCAGCAGCAGCAGCAGCAACGGCTGTTGCAGGCGTCTACAGACCAAGCCCTCGCCCGTTTTGAACGGCTGGCTGCTGCTGGTGGTGCTGCTAGTGCTACTGGTGGTTCTGGTGGTGCTTCTGCTGCTTCCCCAGGAGCAGCTGGAGGAGCAGGAGGAGGGGCAGGAGAATCTAGAGGTGTGGGTGAGAGGAAGAATCCACGAGCGGCCTCTGCTTCCTTGCAGCAGCCCACTCCTCTCCCCGGCCCCCCCCTCTCCTGGTGTGAATGGAAGGGAGATGGGGAGTTGTAACAGGGAAGGTGCGAATCCCAGTGACAGAGGTAGAGGAGGGGGTATGGGACAGAGCAGAGGGGGTGGAGAAGGAGCAAGAGGAGGAAGTGGAGGAGGAGGGGAGGGGATGAATGGGAGAGGAGGAGAAGGGCAGTTGGGCAGCCCTGCTAGTAGCACTTCTAGCCGTGGGAGTGTTGGGGGGAGGGCAGGGGGAGGAGGAGGAGAAGGGGGAGGAGATGGTCGGAGGGGAGTGGGCGGAAGGGGAGAGGGGGGCGGAAGAGGTGGGGGAAGGGGGGCGGGAGGAGGTGGGAGAGATGGAGGGGGGGAGGGGAGGTGCGGGGAGAGGGGGAGGGGGGGGTAGAGGAGGGGAAGGAGGAAGAGGAGGCGGAAGGGGTGTAGGGGGGATGGGGGAGGGGGGAGGAAGAGGTGGAGGGGGCAGGGGCCAAGCGGCAGGGGGGCGAGGCATGTCCGAAAGAGGGAGGTTGGAAGGAGGGGTTGGCTTGACAGGGGAAAACAACACAAAAGGCCCTTCGGAACAGTCCCAGGGTAATGCGAATCATATCCGGGGTAATTTACCCCCGCCTCTGGTGATGCAGTCTCCCTCGCCGCCCGCACCGAGCCCACCGCAAGTTCCTTCGCCCCCCGGAAGTTCGTCCACCAATACGAGAAACCCTCGTGCAAAAATAATGAGTCAGGGGAGTGGCAATTTTCGAGCTGCGGGGGTTGGGAGAGCTGAGACTTGATGTGCGATAGATCACAATGGCCAGGAACAAGCTGGTTGTGACCGTCTCAAAACAGTACCGTTAGGTTTGGCTGGTGCCCTTGGTTCAGTGGCTTGGTTTGTAGACAGCAGCAACCTCTCAAGTACTGCAACAAAGAAAGTCTAGCCGCTGGTGAACAATAAATGTGTAAGATTTATAGTTCAGGAAGTGTAATTGCATAGAATGCATCCACACAGAATCACCTCGGGGACGCGGACACTCCCATCACATTCCCGTGATCGATCCTACGCAGGATCGTTGTTTTACAGGTTTTGAAAAGGTTGGAAAGGTTTTAGATTGTAATTGCAGGTTTTCACTGCGGTGGCGGATTGAACTTGCAATATCAAGTGTCCGCTTCCTTTGGTTTGCTCCAATATCCTAACTAGTTGATGCAGAATTATATATTATCAGTCTACTGTTGCTGGCGGACATCTTTACAGACGTTAGGTTGGCTTTACAGACACTCTCTTTGCCGGCTTCACACGATGATAGCTCTCGTATGTGCTTGAAGTTAGAAGCATCAGTAACGCGCCTCCTCGGTTTGCCGTCAAGGTTCCCCTGTTTCCTGCAACACTCACAGCGGTCCCTTACCACAGTGATATTTATCCATCCCTTGCAAGATTTTCACGCCTTCGTTGCACCCGTAGCTCGCCATTTTCGCGATTTCGCTCTTGTCGGGGACAGTTCACGACAGTTCCCGACTGCTCGCCACTTTTCGCGACCTTTCGCAGTTGTTCGCCACTATCTCGCCATGGATCCGAGCCCCATACACGCCCAGGTTCAGCAGTTAATCTCGCGAGCACTCACCGGAATTCCTCCGCTCCCCGCATCTCACGGCACCCTCGCAAATACTCAAGGCATTGATCCCAATCGCGTCCCCTTAAAGCCGCTCCCTCAGGCTCTCGCGAACGCGGGAAACCCTAACGCGTGCAAGATCTGCCACGTGGACATTTTAGGAGGGCCTAAGTTCCGGATCTGCCTTTCCTGCGGCGCTCCGTCGCATCTATACCCCGCGACTCGGTCGTCCCTGGATGCGGCTTTAAGTACGGAAAGGTCGAGCCGGCAGAGCGCGGGGAGTGGAGATACTAGGAGTAGTGATGCTAGTCGGGCTAGCTCGGTCACCGGCTCTTTTCCGGGGACGAGTATATCGGGGACGCCTATTGCGAGTAACGACAAGAGCGGCCTATGGCGGAACACCCGGATTGAGCGGCGGTATCTGATGTCCCTTGAGTTCAAGCCGCAAGACGACAAGGTACGTTACTATTTCCGGATGTGTGTTTTGACGCTGAGTTGATCGGAAAGCTAACATTTATCATGCTTCTGTTGAGTCGCTGAGCCGCATTCTATCATTTCTTGAAACCGGCATCAACGCCTCTCCGCATTCTATCATTTCTTGAAACCGGCATCAACGCCTCTCCGCATTCTATCATTTCTTGAAACCGGCATCAACGCCTCTCCGCATTCTATCATTTCTTGAAACCGGCATCAACGCCTCTCCGCATTCTATCATTTCTTGAAACCGGCATCAACGCCTCTCCGCATTCTATCATTTCTTGAAACCGGCATCAACGCCTCTCCGCATTCTATCATTTCTCTCCTTCACTCTTCTACCCTCCCTCAGCGCCGTCGCTCCTCCTCCACACAGCCCTACGAGCGCACTGTTGCCGAAACCCTATCGTGCCTTTGACTTCCTCTCTTTTAATTTCCTATGTTTCAACCCCCCTCCCTCCCTCCGTCCCTCAGCGCCGTCGCTCCTCCTCTACCCAGCCCTACGAGCGCACTCTCGCGGAAACCCTATAATGCTTCTGATCTCCTCTCATGCCTATCATGCCTTTGATTTTTTTTTTTTTGTAACTCCTCTGTTTCCACTCCCTTCCCTCCCTCAGCGCCGTCGCTCCTCCTCCACGCAGCCCTCGGAGCGCACTCTCGCAGAAACCCTAGCGGGCATCAACGCGCCTCCCCCAGATGCGACCTCCACCCGCGGCAGCACCAATACTCGAGGCAGTACCGGTAGTGCTGGGCGCACCTCGAATGCTTCAGGTGTCACCTCCGCCCGCGGCAGCACGGGTGCGCCCCCCCCAGGTGGCACCTCCACCCGAGGCAGCAGCAGCTCTACTGCTTCGTCTGCTGGTGGTGCTGCTGCTGGTGCTGCTGGTACTGGTGGTAAAAGCGCTGGTGGTGGCGTGGGCGCCGGTGCAGGAGCAGCAGCAGCAGCAGGAGGAGGAGGAGGCGGAGCCGGAGCAGATGCAACCACTGCAGCAGCATCAGCGCCAGCAGCGCCAGCAGCAGCAGTGCCACCACCTGCTCCTTCTCAGGCTCCCGATTTTATTCCTGACGATTTCTTCGCCGCCCCATCAACAGTCTCCACCACTTCAACTCCTGCCGCTCTCTCGTTCGCTCCTGCTGCTCAATCGACTGCTCTGCCTACGCCACTACCCGCTCCCGGCGCTCTCCCTACCACTGCACCCACTGCTGCCCATGCCGCCACGTCAGCACCGCCTGCAGCTGTCCCCACTATTCCCAATGTGGGCGTCGCAACAGCTGCTGCTCCTTCATCGTTCTTTGCTGCCAGCTTTGGGTCAGGAGGGGGACAGCAGCAGCAGGGTGCAGCGGCTGTCACTCCAGAGAGGCACAGCAGGTACGTACGGTTCCCCGCTGTTCCTAGCGCAGGCGCAGCAACAGCAGCAGCTGCTGCTCCTTCGTCGTTCTTTGCTGCCAGTTTTGGATCAGCAGGGGGACAGCAGCAGCAGCAGCAGCCGCAGCAGGGTGCAGAGAGGCACAGCAGGTACGTCTGGTTCAACAGGCTAGCAGGCCTGCGTTTTCGACTCGCTGGCTATTTAAGTCCTTTGCTGGTGTCCCATCTCTTCAGTAACACACACTGTGAATTCTTCTAGGTTGCTCTCTGATAGCCTATTTCTGTGCCTCCCTTTCCCCTGCCACCCTGTGTCTTCCATTCCCTCCCACTGCAGTGGTTCTTCTGCTCTGGACTTCTTCTCTCAGCTCAGTGGTATCACAAGCTCTGTCCTTTCTGGCACCACCTCTTCGTCTTCTTCTGCACATCCGTCCGGCGCCACTCACGCCAACGACCCTGCTGCTGCTGGCATGAGCGCTTTCACTGGCAATTTCGCAGGAAGTTTCCCTGGGAGCCAGCCTTACGCCTCCCACGACGGGCAGTTCGGGCAGTTTGTAAAACCGGAGCCAGCGAATCCGGTGGTGCAGGAAATTTTGCAGTCACTGCCTGACTTGTCGTTCATGCTGGCTGATCACCTGGTGGTGCCCGGGAGGGATCCTGGAGGGTTGAGGGAGTTTAATAGCCGGCCGAAGGTTTCTGCTGCATCGATCATTGCATCGTGCGTTCCCCGTCGGGCAATAACACACGCTGCAGCTGCACTGGCAGCAGGAGGAACAGGGGCAGATGCAGGAGCAGCAGCAGCACCAGCAGCAGCTCTTGTTGATTCTTCTGCAAGTGGAACTGTAGAGATTCAAAGCACAGCACCTGCAAGTGCAGCAGCTACAAACGCAGCAGCTACAATGGAAGCGGAAGAAAGTGGGAAGCAGCAGATGCCCACAGCTGGATTTGATTCCTTGGAAGATTCTGCTGGGGTGGGTCATGCAGCAATCACAGCACCTGCTGTAAACATGGCATCAACAGCTCCTGCTGGTGTTGGTTCTGCAACTGCTGTGAGTGACCCTGGGATGGCTCCACCTGTGGCAGAGACTTCTGTGTCTTCCGTGATCGCGGGAATGTCGATGGGGGGCTTCATGGATGATGCAGAGGAGGATAATGACGATTGGGGCGACTTTGAGTCGTGATTGGAGAAGTTTGGCTGTGGGTTGGCTGTGGAAAAGTGTACACTGTATTTTGGCCTCAGTACCGGTAGCTTTGTTTAGAATCTGAGGTGTAATGTTCTGTTAGTCTTAATGTATGTAGACTTCTGGAGACATAGGATCTGTTTATACATGATAATTACTGCTAAATAAGAATGGAAATTTCCAGTTATGTTGGATTCATGCGTGTGATTTAGTGAGATCTGGTTTGATTACGATTCAGTTTATAGCGGTGTTCCACCGATTTCCCACATTAGGACGCGTCACCTGCCTCGATCGATCCTGCGCAGGATCGATTTTGATTCGGTTCATAAAGTTTTCAAACAAATTTAAACGCAATACGCGGGATTTTAGTGCGGTGGACGATCGATCTTCCTCGATTTTGCACGATCGATCGAGGGAGGCGACGTGTCCTTAGGCTCGTTGCTCTTCAACGTTTTTGGATCAGAGACTGCTCTATGCACGTTTTCCCGCCATGCAAACGCTGTCGTCAGCCACTGTCGCCATCGTCGCCACCATCACTCACGACGCGAATCGGTCGTTCAGTGACCCCTTGAAGAACCGATCAGGGTAGCGCCAGGCATGGGTCTGCGGCACACTGTTCCCCCGATTCGCGCTCGAAATATCCTCCTAGGGTGCTCCTCAAGTCAGTCGCCCCTCGTGATTGTTTTCCCCCCTCCCCGTTACCACCTGAATTTTCCGCCTGCGCTTTGTCTCCTGCACTGTGTTCTCCAATGGGTGCACTTTTCACATCCCCGCCTGCCGGGTTTGCGCTTCCTCCCACTTCCGCGAACCCCTCCGCGCCAGCCTCCCCGCCACCCCCCGGCTGGACTCGACTCGATTTTCTTCCCTCCCTCTCCCTTCCCACCCCACCTATTTTTACCACTCCTCGCCCCTCCTACGGCACATGCCCTTTTTTCTGCCAGTTTCTCCCCCTCCTTCCCATTCCCCCTCCCCAACTGTTCCTCCCCAGTATTTTCCTCTCCCTCTTTCGCCCCCCTCCTTTCCCCCCTACTTTTCCCCACACCCCCCTCTACCCACACCCTCCCCACCCCACCCACACCTACATTCCCCCTCCCCACCATTCCGCCCTTCGTTTCCCCCGACTCCACCGCACCAACACACGACCACCATCGCCAGCAGCACCACCAGCATCTCGACCACCACCGCCACCACCACAGCCATCATCGTCCCCATCCTCCCCAATCCCAGAGTTCCATCCCATCCCCGTCTGTTCCACCGTCTTCCCATCCGCATTTCCCGCTAGCTCTTGCATACCTTTCCTGTCACTGCCACGTCACTAGTTCGCACTTACAGATTCACGACGATCCCTGCAGGAGGCGTGTCTCCTAGCCGATTTCCTTAGTGACGTGGTCGTTAGTGTGGCTGTTTTTCGCCTCACCCCTCTGTCATATCGTTTAGTATAGCGAGGTACAGTCCTCAGCAACCGAGTCGTAACTTATAACTAAGTTATGTAGCGAAAACAACACCAACAATATTTTCTTGGAGAAGCCGCCCTTCGCCTATTGATTTCATTTCCTGTTTAGCCTGATGCGTTAATGCTGACTCATCAGCCTCGCCGTTACAATCCGCCTGCGTAGCCTTCGCTGGAAGCTTGCCTTCAAGTTTACGCATATTCACTTAAAAACAGATCGGCGGTATCCGGTTCTCTTCGGTGTGAGGTTCTCGCCGATCTCGCCATGGTAGAATTGGCCGACGCGAGCTGCTCTGACTGGGACGACTGCTCCAATGGCTGCGCTGATGTCCCGCCAATTGCCTCGTCAGCAAATTCCTCGTCAGCAGATGCCTCGTCAGCGAATGCCTCTTCAGCACAGGATCCTTTAGCAGAGGGTTCGCCTGCAGCAGATAGCCCTTCAGACTGCAAAGCCATAGTCAGCGGAGCTTTAGGGGGGTCCGAGCTACGATCGGCGGGGGGAGCGGCGGGGGAAGCGGAGGGGGTGGCTACTCCGGTGGTCCCGGAGTGTCCGGTGTGCTTGGAGCTGTACGATCAGGAGCAGCGCGTTCCGCGGCTGGTCGCCTGCGGCCACACGATTTGCCAAGCCTGTGCCCGGAATCTACCTTTGACTCGGGTAGGTACTAGGGGCGACCCAGGGTAGACACAAGGGATTACCCAGGTTAGGCAATTGAGTCGACTCACCTGTGCCAGGAATATCCCTTTGAACCGGGTAGGTACTCTTATAAGAAACAATGTTACCCTGGTAACTTCCTCCTCCATACCATTCCAATCATCCTTTCAATACTTTGTCCCTCACTTTGTTAGCCCCACACCCGCCGCGCCCCTTCGTCTCTTGGCAGGATTTTTTCGGAAAGAAATGCATCAGCTGCCCGGAATGCCGATGCCTAGTCGTGTGGAAGGGCCTCGCGAGCATGCCCAAAAACTTTGCCCTTCTTCGCCTCATCACTGACGCAAATGACTGCCCGAGAGAAAAGCGGGCAGCCACTCACGCCATGGAAGTCTGCCGAACGAGATTAGACTCCAGACAGATGGTTTTCCAAATCGCGGATCTGCTATCCGTGGTTTCCGTACTTTTCGGGATTCTCTTAGGGATGTGCGTCTTCGTGCCGCTCTGCTGCGTGTACCTAGCCCTGGGTTGGAGCATTGCTGCTCTGACGTTCCTCGCGTTCTCGATCCTTTCAACAGCAGCCGTTGGATTCGCTGCTGCTGGGCTCTTCTCGCTGCTCTCGTACAAAACCCTCAAGTTCCTGAACGTTTGCTCATGACAGGGGGATTACTGTGGTGGTGTATTGGTCTGTGTGACTGACCACACAACACGGCAACCTCATACTAGTTATTTATATAAGCTAGTGTGCGGAGTTGAGAGCATCATCTCCGCGGACTGGCGTTGTCTCGAGCTGGGTATTGTATCCTTTTCTACATACAAGAAAAGCAATGGCTGGAAAGTGTTGTCTGTGTATCTTCCTTGCCCTTTTAGACAGGACTGATTATATCAGTGGAATGATGATTTAACAACGTCCCTCATGCAGTGGCGACCTATCCAGGTTCAACCCTAAGTTTTAGAAAAATTGCAGGTGTTGTGATTCCCATTGACTGCATTCCCTCCGATGAAGGTCCACAGGGAGAGTTGCCTTACATGTTTATTTACAGTGCCTTGGCGGTACAGTCTAACTCATGCTTTTAATCGGGACATTCATGCGTATAGTGGGTGTCTTGGCGACCTCACGCGACCATGGGGTTGGCGCATCAGGTATCCGCACGAAGTTTAGGGTACCTATGATTGCTGATGTGGTAGAGTTCTCAACGTACGGTTTAATGCGTTATACATCGTTTTAAAACACATTCAACAAAGTTTTACGAACGCCCAAGTGTGATCTGCCCCCAAACTCGCTTCTGTATCATGCTTTCCGCACAAACCCGCAACCCCCCACCACCCTCTGTTCCCCCACAGCTTCCGCATCCATTCGCCGTGCGCACAGCTCTCTCCCGCCATCCTTTCTGACCCACAACGTGCTCCATCCTCCCATCTCACTCTCCAGGGATTCCGGAACTCTCGTTATTGTCATGCTTCTCCTTGTGTTGACCTGGATCAGTCATCGATTGGCTGGAGCGACCTTGGAATTGCCGGCATCTTCTTTCATGCCATTGTTGGTCAGTGGTCTGAAGAAAACTAGTAAGAGAAGTAAAGCGGTTCAGTGAGATAAATGAGTGATTTACAGTATCTCTATGTACACAGACAACGGTTGAGCAGGGTTCGTCCTAGGCAGTAACCCATCTCGTATCTAAATCGTTGATTTCCTTACTGCTTAGTAGCCTAAGGCGGTTTCCTTGTGGAGTAAGTTTAGGCGTATTGCTGGTCAGGAACATGCGTGCTTTCCATGGCGTAAGTTTTTCCCTAGCTGTCGGCGTCTCTGCAGCAGATGTTCCATTTTGATCGCCGCGGGATGCGTTTGTGAAATCTAATCCGACCCGGTTTAGAGCAAGCTTGTTTGCTTAGTTCTCAGTCGCCTTAACGGAGTCACTGACAGGATATCGAGGCCTTGTTCGCGTGCCATGTGAAAACATGGCGTATTATTTGCGTTAGCGCCTGGCGGTGCGTGGCACCGCAGTTCACTCCTCGTCACAGTTTAAGACCGCTCTCCGATCTAGATATGCTACTAACGCCATTTCTGTGACTTTAAGACCGCAATGTGGTCATTTTCTGGAACCTTCCAGATACTTTTGGATCAAAGACGATAGCGCATTTGAGGTAAGAATCTCGTGGTTTCGTAGTTAGCTATTTATCTCGTAATGCCATGGCTCGATAAAGACCAGGGTTTATATGCAGGCGAATCTGATGATTTCTTGACGGTTTGCGGGAATTCTGGCTGAAAATCTTGGCTTACCGGACGGATTCATCTTATGGGAGCGTGGGCTTATATCCGATACGATGGAATGACCGATGGAGTGCTTACATCCTGATACGATTACGGGGGTTAGTTTAACGCCATTTTGATCGGCTCAGATCTTTACGGAAGAAAAAAAAGATGGGTTTAAACACTGTACTTAGTACCCTGACGTGGAATCCTTCTTGTTAGGTGTTCATGAGTTGTGACTGAGTCCAATATATTTGTCGCGATGATATATAAGTCCAAGATAAGTCCGTGATGAATCTGCGAGCCTAGGCCATGCTTTCTTACGCACGCGTTTCGCGGGTTACATCCCCTGCATTGTACAACCGTCGCGATCGTTTACAACTCCTGCATTTATGAGTTTCGCGAGCTCTTATCCGTAGACACTCACCCACATTTTCAATCTTCCCCTCCCTCATAATCCCCCCCCACCCACCTTCTTCCCCACGCTCCCTCCCCCCATTCCCGCCTCCCCTTCCTCCACCCCTTCACCCCTCCCTCACCCCCCCTTATTCTCTTCTCCTCTTTCTTTTCCTCTCCTCGCTTCTCCATATTCCAATCCAGACCTCCGCGGACTCGTGTTGTTTCCTGCTCTTCCAGCCGAGCATTCGCCGTGAAACTCCCTTCACGATTCGTTTCCCAAGGCAACCGGCAACCCCCATCAACGGCTGTTAGGACCCAATAGTAGGATCCCTCCTGCGGATGGCCCCTCCCCCTCCGTCTCGGTTCAGCGGAAAGTCCGCGGAGAGGCCTAGCGAAGGCGGGCTCACCGAGCGACGGAGTTACGAATACGACGGTAGCGGTAACGGCGGTCGCATGGCAGCGTTTAAAGCCATTGACGAACGGTCTGAAGGAAGCTTCAAGGAAGGAAGCGCCAAGGACCGGTTTAGGAGCGCGAAGAGCGTTAAGCGGGGAGCTTCGCCAGCTAGACCCCGGCAGGTGGATGGGATAATGCATGAGTATCAGATGCAGAACGCTGCTGCGCGCCGAGCCGAGGCTTCTAACCACAGCAAGAAGGGAATCGGCGGCACCGTGCTGTTCCTGGTGAGTATTAATCTCGTTCTGAGGCTGCTCGAAATGCACTTGGAGGAGGCAGGTGGATGGGATCATGCATGAGTACCAGATGCAGAACGCTGCTGCGCGCCGCGCAAGGCTCGCCAAACGCGCTGGTTATCAGGTCGAGGAACTCATTCTTAAGCGGAGACGTGCGAGATGAGCTGCGCTCATTTGAGTTACAAGACTTTTGAGGCGCCTTTAAAGTCGCTGGTTATCAAATTGAGGAATTCCTTTTTAAGCGGAGACGTGCAAGATGAGCTGCGGTCATTTTAGTTACAAGATCAAGACCACGTGTATCATTCCAGCTCATATTCCGGAATGACTCAGTTTCCCGTTTTCGTCCTTCCCGTCTCTCTCCCTCTCTCCCATGCTTTTTCCCATCATCTCCACCTTCACCTCCCCCCGTCTCCCCTCTCCCTCCCACACTCCCCTCCTTCCCCTCCACGCTCCCCCCACCTCTCCCGTTACTTTCTTGGCAGATGTTGCTCGTCTGCACGGCAGCAGTAGGCTGGGGAGGCTATCAGTACAAGCAAGCCCTCTCTCTCGAGGTAAGACGGTGATGTGAGCCTTACCCCATCACACCCCTACAAGTTAAGGAGGTAATGCATTCCAAGGTAATGAGGCGTTGGGTGAAAAGCTCTCTACGAATGCTGGTGGTATGAGCTTCCCCAATCCCAGCTTCGGCTCTCAGAGCTACAGTGCAAAAACACTCACGTTCTCTCCCCCACCTCTCCACCCCCCTCTTTCTCCCCCCCCTTCTCCCCCTTTCCCTCCTTTCCCCCCTTTCTCCTCCCAGCTCCGGCTCTCAGAACTGCAGCGCAAACACACGCGCCTTGCTTCCAAACTGTCAGATGACGTTCCTGCTAGCGTCAGCAGGATCTTCCCCAGCAGCAGCAGCAGCAGCAGCAGCAGCAGATGCGAAGTAGAAGGAGAAGATGGGGCAGTGGAAGGTACCTGCTCCCCCTTCCCCACAGAAAGGTCTGAAGGAGACAGCGCCGGGTGGAGAGAGGGGAGCGGGAGCGAGGAGGAGAGCGATCGCGAGCGTAGAAGCTCAAAGGAGAAGGCAAAGGAGAAATCCAAGGAGAAGAAGGAGGAGGAGGAAGAGGAGGAAGAGGTGAAGGAGGACCAGGAGCTGTTCTGGCGCAGGGTGGCGCTCCTAGCATCCATTCTCTGCCTGGTCCTCCCCATCTTCATCATCCGCAACATCGATGAAGTGGCACAGCTCTTTGGAAGGCGCCCCAAGGCGACAGACGGCCATACGACCGCCGCTGCCTCTTCCTCCTCCTCGTCATCCACCTCTGCTGCGGCGGCGGCTGCTGCTGCTGCTGGTGCGGCTCCTTCAGCGGCGCCTGGGGCGGACGAGGAGGTGTCGATGAGCAAGCGGCTGGCGTATAAGGTCGATGTGCTCTTCTCCATGCACTCCTGGGTCAAGGGCGCTGCCCTCCTCGCCGCCACGCTGCTTCTGTGAGTACCCAACCACCCGACCACACCTTCACCCCCCAGCCTCCTCTCAGCTCAGCTGCGCTTGCACCTGGAGCAGACGAGGAGGTGTCGATGAGCAAGAGGCTGGCGTATAAGGCCGATGTGCTCTTCTCCATGCACTCCTGGGTCAAGGGCGCTGCTCTCCTCGCCGCCACTCTCCTCCTGTACGTACACCTTAACCCCCCAGCCTCCGCTCCTCTACCACCCCGCCTCCTCTCTACCCTTGTGCCGCTGGAGCGGACGAGGAGGTGTCGATGAGCAAGCGGCTGGCGTATAAGGTTGATGTGCTCTTCTCCATGCACTCGTTCGTGCTGGGTCAAAGGCGCTGCTCTCGCCGCCACTCTCCTGTAAGTACCCACCCCCCGACCACACCTTAACCCCCCAGCCTCCTCTAAGCTGCCCTTGTGCGGCTGGAGCAGAGGAGGAGGTGTCGATGAGCAAGAGGCTGGCGTATAAGGCCGATGTGCTCTTCTCCATGCACTCGTTTGTGCTGGGTGAAAGGCGCTGCTCTCGCTGCCACTCTCCTCCTGTAAGTACCCACCCCCCGACCACACCTTAACCCCCCAGCCTCCTGTACATTTACATACATTTATGTATACATATCTCTCCTTGGGATTTGGGTGAAGAGCTACCCTGAATCTGTCGTATGCCTCTCTCTTCTCCCCCCCTCCCGTCCTACTCCAATCCCACACCAGTATCGCCCTGGGAGGCCTTGCTCTGTACGCCGTTGGATCGAAAGACCGAATGGATCTGGGCGACGCCACGTGGCGGGCGTGGTCCTACGTGGCAGACGCAGGCAACCACGCGGATAGCGAGGGCGTGGGGCCGCGGATCGTGGGCGTGAGCATCAGCATTGGCGGGATGCTGATATTCGCGCTGATGGTGGGGTTGGTGTCGGAGGGCATCTCGGAGAAGGTGGACTCGCTGAAGAAAGGCAAGAGCGACGTGATTGAGAAGAACCACACGCTCATCCTCGGCTGGAGTGACAAGCTGGTGGGTCGTAGGGGATCGGGGAATGGGGAAGGGGTGGTTGGGGCCCACTCTGTCTGTCGTGGGGAATGATTGCGGGAGAAAGAGGAGGGGGAAGGGGGATGTGGGAGGAACGGCAAGAGCGACGTGATTGAGAAGAACCACATGCTCATTTTCGGCTGGAGCGACAAGCTGCTGGATTATGGGTGGGCGGGAGGGGAGAATGGGCATGGGCATGGGCATGGGCATGGGCATGGGCATGGGCATGGGTGTGGGCATGAGCATGGGTGTGGGCATGGGCATGGGCATGGGCATGGGCATGGGCATGGGCATGGGCGTGAGGGGAGAATGGGCATGGGCATGGGCATGGGCGTGAGGGGAGAATGGGCATGGGCATGGGCATGGGCATGGGCATGGGCATGGGTGTGGGCATGAGCATGGGTGTGGGCATGGGCATGGGCATGGGCATGGGCATGGGCATGGGCATGGGCGTGAGCATGAGCATCAGGCATCGCTGCTGAAGCAACTGGCAGTGGCGAACGAGAGCATGGGAGGGGGCGTGGTGTGGTGGAGATGATGATACCGCCTCTGGGCCTATGTTCTTGTGTTAATCGTGTCTTCTCCCTCCCTTTGCCCCTGCTGCCCATCACCCATCAGGCATCGCTGCTGAAGCAACTGGCAGTGGCGAACGAGAGCATGGGAGGCGGCGTGGTGATGGTAATGATTCCGTGTCTTTCTCCCTGTTGTTATGTCAATCCTGCCCCTCCCCTCTCTCCGTTCCTTTGATGCCCATGTCCAACCCACATCAGGCCTCGCTGCTGAAGCAGCTGGCAGTGGCGAATGAGAGCATGGGAGGGGGTGTGGTGGTGGTGATGAGTGAGCGGGAGAAGGAGGAGATGGAGAGCGAGATTCAGAAGATGGAGTTCAACTTCCGAGGGACCACTGTAATCTGCCGGTATGTCCAATGCTGGGTCGGGTGGTGAAGCATGTGTGTATTGGCCACACACATTGCTATGGTGCATACATTCATGGTGATGAGCGAGAGGGAGGAGGAGATGGAGAGCGAGATTCAGAAGATGGAGCTCAACTTCCGAGGCACCACTGTCATCTGCCGGTATGTCGAATGCTGGGTGGTGAGGCATGGTACTGTGTCTATTGGCCACAACACTATGGTACGTGATGATGAGTGAGAGGGTGTGGAGGGGCGGGAGAGCGAGATTTGGATGATTGGAATTTCACTACTGAGGTGTCACTGTTATCTGCCGATATGTTCGCTGGTCTTAAAGAAGGTGTCTGTCTCCATGGCTCGGGCACTCATTGTGCACTCTCCTCTGGCAGAGGCAGAGAACGCGGATGCTGCAGACGCCAGGGCACTCAGGGTGGTGCTGAGCCTCTGTTCTGCTCTCCCTCTCCCTCTCCCTCTCCTTTCTCTCTCCCCACCCCCCCTTCCCTCCGCTCCTCTCCGCTCGCCCCTGGTGTTGGCTGACCTGAAAAAAGTCTCTGTCTCGACTGCTCGGGCGCTGATAGTTCTGGCAGAGGCGGAAAACGCGGATGCTGCAGACGCCAGGGCGCTCAGGGTGGTGCTGAGCCTGATGGGCGTGCGGGAGGGGCTGCGTCTGACTCAATTCTTCCTTCTAATCGTTGGCTTTCGTCTCCCTTTCTCCTTTCCCTCGCCCCATGCTCTCCCCCCTCCCCATGCTGCTGCAGCTCCGGCTCGCCCCTGGTGTTGGCTGATCTCAAGAAGGTCTCTGTGTCGACTGCTCGAGCTCTAATCGTGCTGGCGGAAGCAGAGAACGCCGATGCTGCAGACGCCAGGGCGCTCAGGGTGGTGCTGAGTCTCTGTTCCCCTCTCCCCCTTGCTGACCCCCTTCCCCCTGCTACAGTTCCGGCTCGCCCCTGGTACTGGCTGATCTCAAGAAGGTCTCTGTGTCGACTGCTCGAGCTCTAATCGTGCTTGCGGAAGCAGAGAACGCGGATGCTGCAGACGCCAGGGCGCTCAGGGTGGTGCTGAGCCTGACGGGCGTGCGGGAGGGGCTTCGAGGGCACATTGTGGTGGAGCTGAGCGATATTGACAACCAGCAGCTCGTCAAGGTGAGGAGCGGTGTAGAGCAGTATAGAAGGGTGAGGAGTGGTGAGGAGTGGTGTGGAGTGGTGTGGTGGTGGTGAGGGAGGGGCTGCGGGAGCACATTGTGGTGGAGCTGAGCGATATTGACAACCAGCAGCTGGTGAAGGTGAGGAGCAGTGTAGAGCGGTGAGGAGAGGTGGTGGGAGCACATGGTGGAGACGGTGGTGGCGCACGATGTGATCGGCCGCCTCATGATTCAGTGCGCCCGCCAGCCCGGCCTGGCAGTGCTCAGTGCGCAAACCCACCCCTTCCAACCCTGTTCCCCTCCTCCTAACCGCACAGATGGTGGGGGGGCGCATGGTGGAAACGGTGGTGGCGCACGACGTGAGGTCTAAACCCTCCTCCATTCCCCCTCCCGCCTCCTCCCTCAACCCTCTCTTTTTCCACTCTCCCTCCTCCTAACCGCACAGATGGTGGGGGGACGCATGGTGGAAACGGTGGTGGCGCACGAACGATGTTATTGGCCGCCTCATGATTCAGTGCGCCCGCCAGCCCGGCCTGGCCCAGATCAGCACCCTCACCCCCCTCTCATCCTATTGCTCCTATCTGCTCCCAATCGCCCACAGATGGTGGGGGGACGGATGGTGGAAACGGTGGTGGCGCACGACGTGATCGGGCGCCTCATGATTCAGTGCGCCCGCCAGCCCGGCCTGGCCCAGATCTGGGAGACCCTCCTCGGCTTCGAGAACTGCGAGTTCTACACCAAGCACTGGCCCGAGCTCGTCGGGAAAACCTTTCGGGAGGTCCTGCTGTCCTTTCCTGATGCGGTGCCGTGCGGTTTGAGGGTTTCTGCAAGGACGTATTATGAGAAGAGTACGGAGGCGGTGGGGTTTGAGTTTGCTGGTGGGAGCAGTGTTGGGAGTGAGGATGAGGAGGAGGAAGGGGAGGAGGGGGAGGGAGGAGGGGAGGGCGAGGGGAAGAGGGTGCATAAGGAGCATACCCGGCTGTGGCTCAACCCGGACGATGACTACGTGCTCCAGGTGGGTGGTGCCTCTGTGTCAGATGTTTGTGACTTTTGAGGCGCCTCAAAAGGAGGGCGAGGTGAAGAGGGTGCATAAGGAGCATACGCGGCTGTGGCTCAACCCGGACGATGACTATGTGCTTCAGGTGAGTGTTTTTTTATTTTTCTGGTTTCAAGTCCTTTGAAATTGAGTGCCTAAAAAGGTGGAGGGCGAGGTGAAGAGGGTGCATAAGGAGCATACGCGGCTGTGGCTCAATCCAGATGATGGCTATGTGCTTCAGGTGAGTGGTCTATGTGCTTCAGGTGAGTGGTCTCTGTGCTTCAGGTGAGTGGTCTCTGTGCTTCAGGTGAGTGGTCTCTGTGCTTCAGGTGAATGTTGCCTCTTTCTCAGATGATTGCATGTGCGTCAGGTAGCTCAGGTAGGTGCTCAGGTAGGTATCCTGGTCCGCTCCCCCTGCCCCTGCCCCCCTCCCCCATCCTCGCTGCCTGAGGACTCTGCTTGTGATTGCAGAGAATGATGCCCCTGGCCCCAACACACCCAACACCTGGCCTCCTCCCCCACCTCGCGCCCCCTTCCCCCCACTCCTCACCTCCCCTGCCCCTGCCCCCCTCCCCCATCCCCCCAGCCTGAGGACTCTGTGCTTGTGATTGCAGAGGATGACGACTCCTATGCCCCCGGCCCGCTGCCCGTGGTGCAAGACGCCCCGCTGCCCGACATTGAAACCCCGCCGAAGCTGCCCGAAAAAATCCTGTTCTGCGGCTGGCGGCGCGATATCGACGACATGATCACGGTGAGAAAAGAGAGGGGAGGAGGGGGGAGAGACGAGGGGAAGCAGGAAGGGGGAAGGGAATGGGGGGAGAAGAGTGGGGAGACGAAGGGTTGGAGATGGAGGGGGCTGGCGGCACGATATCGACGACATGATCACGGTGAGAAAGAGAGGGGAGGAGGGAGAGATGGGAGGGAAGGCGGGGGAAGGGGGGACGGGGGAGGGGAGGATGATGGGTTGGGGAGATGTGGGGGGGAGTGGGGCGGGGGCGCCATATTGACAGTGAGGGGCGGGAAGGGTGTGGGCGGATGGGGGGAAAAGGAGAATGGGGCACGTTGCTGCCCCTCCCCATGCCCTCTCAACTCCCGTGCCTGTCCACAGTAGACCCTAGTCCCATCTGACCACCCCCGCCCTCGTCCGGCTGCCCGTTTCCGCCCTAGAGGTTTATTTTTAGGATCCGAGCTGTGGATCTTCTCAGATGTGCCCGTGTGGAGGAACGGGAGGCGCACCTCATTGAGGGCGGGCGGGCGGGCTGAACCCTTCTCTCTCCCTGCAACCTCGAACCCAAAACCTCGAAACACCCGAAGCCCGAAAGCCTAATCCGTACCATGCCCACGCAGGTGCTGGAGGCGTTCTTGGCGCGGGGATCCACGCAGGAGCTGTGGATCTTCTCGCGGAGGCGTTCTTGGATCAGAGCTGTGGATCTTCTCAGACGTGCCAGTAGAGGAGACGGAGGCGCGCCTCATAGAGGGCGGGCTGAACCCTTCTCTCTCCCTGCGACCTCAAACCCAAAACCTGGAAACCCGAAACCCTTATCTATACTCTGCCCATGCATACAGGTGCTAGAGGCGTTTTTAGCCCGGGGCTCAGAGCTGTGGATCTTCTCGGACGTGCCCGTGGAGGAGAGGGAGGCGCGCCTCATAGAGGGCGGGCTGAACCCCAGCGAGCTGGAGAACGTGATGCTCGTGCACCGCATGGGGAATGCCGTTATTCGGCGCCATCTGGAGTTTCTTCCCCTCGAAACCTTCGACTCGGTAAGGCTGCTTCTTGTGGGTTCTGACTGAGTCAGCCTCAGGGACCAGGCGTGCGTCGGTGCCTCATAGAGGGCGGGCTGAACCCCAGCGAGCTGGAGAACGTGACTCTCATCTCGTGCACCGCATGGGCAACGCTGTCATCCAGCGCCACCTGGAATTCCTGCCGCTAGAGACCTTTGGCTTGGTAGGTGGTACGACTGGTACTATCCGAGCTGACAAAGTGAGGCACCTACCCTATCTCCCAGCGAGCTGGAGAACGTGACTCTCATCTCGTGCACCGCATGGGCAACGCTGTCATCCGCCGGCACCTCGAGTTCCTCGTGCACCTGGTGCCCCTCGTCAACTGCAACTTGTGTTCTCCATCACCCTGCTCCTTTTGCCCCATTCCCCTACTTCTAATCCCCATTCCCCTCCGCCTTCCTCCTAGATCCTCATTGTAGCGGACGAGTGGCTGGAGGACTCAATCATCAACTTTGACTCGCGCTATTCCCTATCCTGCCCATATTGCCCCTCCCCTGCTTTCAAGTTTCAAACCTCCCTCTCCCCCCCCCCCCCCTTCAGATCCTCATTGTAGCGGACGAGTGGCTGGAGGACTCAATCATCAACTTTGACTCGCGCTAGCTCTAATCCCCCCCTCCCCTCTTTTCCTTGCTGCCTATTCCCCTCCCCCCCAGATCCTCATTCTAGGACTCGATTATCAGCTGCAACTCTCGCTATCCCTCATCATGTCCCCTCTTCTCCACGCCCACTCTCCTCTTCCCATTCCTCTGCTACTCCCCTCCTCCCTCTCCTCAGATCCTCATCCTCGCGGACGAGGGGCTGGAGGACTCGATTATCAACTGTGACTCGCGCTCCCCTCTATTCCCCATGCTCACTCATTTTCCCCCTACTCCCATACCCTCCCCCTCCCCCCCAGATCCTCATTCTAGCAGACGAGGGCCTGGAGGACTCAATCATCAACAGCGACTCGCGCTCCCCACTGTCCTGCTCTTAACCCCATCCTCTTCTCTCTATGCTCCCTCTCCTCTCTCCTACTTTTGAGGCGCCTCAATACAGCGACTCGTGCTCCCCACTGTCCTGCTCTTAACCCCATCCTCTTCTCTCTATGCTCCCTCTCCTCTCTCCTACTTTCCCCCCCCTCTCCCGTACTTCCCCCCCTCTCCCCCCCCTTCCCCCGTTTTCTCAGATCGTCATTCTAGTAGACGAGGGGCTGGAGGACTCGATTATCAACTGTGACTCGCGCTCCCCTCTATTCCCCATGCTCACTCATTTCTCCCCGACTCCTATACCCTCCCCCTCCCCCCCAGATCCTCATTCTAGAGGACGAGGGCCTGGAGGACTCAATCATCAACAGCGACTCGCTGTCTCTCACCCTGCTCTGCTCTATTCCCCCTTGCCCTACTTCCGATCCCCCTTCTACACTCGTCTCCTCTCCCCCTCAGATCCTCATCCTCGCGGACGAGGGGCTGGAGGACTCAATCATCAACTGCGACTCGCGCTCCCCTCTATTCCCCACGCTTACTCATTTCTCCCCGACTCTCCTACCCTCTTCCCCCTCAGATCCTCATTCTAGCGGACGAGGGGCTGGAGGACTCGATTATCAACTGCGACTCGCGCTCCCTCGCCACGCTGCTGCTCATCAGAGACATCCAGGTGGGTGTTATCTGGGGGAGGTTGTATGTGGAGGAGGTGCTATCTGTGAGCTAGGCAGAATGGATCGCGTGCATGCCAGCTTCTTTGAGAACCCTCGCCACGCTGCTGCTCATAAGAGACATCCAGGAGGGTCATATGTGGGGGAGGTGCTACCTGGGAGGTGTGATGTGCATGCCAGCTTCTCTGAGCTCCCTCGCCACGCCGCTGCTCATCAGAGACATCCAGGTGGGTGCTGGTGCTACCTGGGGGAGGGGGGTACTATGGGTGGAAAGGGAGGGGGGTACAGGTGGGTATCCAGCTTCTGTTAGGTCCCTCGCCACGCCGCTGCTTATCAGAGACATCCAGGTGGGTGCTATGCGGTGGGAGGTGGCGGGGTGTGATGTGAGGTGGTGCTGCAACTCGTCTATCACCATGATTTGCCTTTTTTCTCTCCCCTCCATCCTCACCCCTCCCCCCTCCCTGCTCCCCCTCCCCTTTCCTCCATGCCCTCTCCTCCATCCCACCTCCTTTCTCTCCCCCTCCGCCCTCCGCCCTCCCCCCAACCCACCAATCCAGTCCAAGCGCATGCTGGCGGGCAGCAAGGGCCACCGCCGCAGCAACTCGAGCATCACGTATCCGCGGCCCACGTCCACGTCCTCGTGGGTGGGGCAGATGCAGCAGGCCCCCTGCTCATCTCATCTCCCACACCCCACCCCACACCTCCCTTGTTCCTTTGCCTATCCCTTCCCCCCAACTCTCCCCCCCCCCCCCAACCCGCCAGTCCAAGCGCATGCCGGCGGGCAGCAAGGGCCACCGGCGCAGCAACTCGAGCATAACCTACCCGCGCCCCACGTCCACGTCCTCGTGGGTGGGGCAGATGCAGCAGGCGTCGCAGCAGTCCATCGTCATCTCGGAGATCCTCGACTCGCGCACGCGCTCCCTCGTCTCCGTCTCCAAGATCAGTGATTACGTGCTCAGTAACGAGCTGGTGTCCATGGCTCTAGCAATGGTACGTGCTTGGGTCTTTCGTCTCGTCCTCCTCCCCGTGTCCTCCTCTCCTCGTCCTGCTCTCCGCCCCTCCACCTCCTCATGGGTGGGTGGGTGGGGCAGATGCAGCAGTCCGTCTTCATCTCCGAGATCCTCGACTTGCGCACGCGCTCCCTCGTCTCCGTCTCTAAAATTAGGGACTATGCTCTCAGTAACGAGCTGGTTTCCATGGCTCTGGCAATGGTACGTACGTGCGTCGGGGTCTTTTTGCCTTTGTCCCCTTCTCCTCGTCTTCCTCGTCCCTCCTCTCCCCGTCTTCCTCTTCCTCCTCTCCACGGGGCAGATGCAGCAGGCGTCGCAGCAGTCCATGGCCATCTCTGAGATCCTCGACTCGCGCACGCGCTCCCTCGTCTCCGTCTCCAAGATTAGTGACTACGTGCTCAGTAATGAGCTGGTGTCCATGGCTCTGGCAATGGTACGTACCTACTTACATCAGCGTTGACTGATGGCGAGGCACTCCCTGGTTACCCTCCACGTGTTCCGTCGTCATCTCGGAGATCCTCGAATCGGTGGGTGCTGGTACGGGTGCTATGGCTCTGGCACTGGCGGGTTTAGGTTTCAGGGTCTTAGCGATGGTGAGACACACCCTCGCTCCTCCAAGCGGCAGTCCATCGTCATCTCTGAGATCCTCAACCCGCACACGCGCTCCCTCGTTTCCGTCTCCAAGATTAGTGACTACGTTCTTAGTAACGAGCTCGTCTCCATGGCTCTGTCTGGCGATGGTGAGACACTCACTTGCTCCTCCACCCCTCGACTCGCGTACGCGCTCCCTCGTCTATTGTCTCCAGAATCAGTGAGTACGTGCGCTCCAATGAGCTCACGCGCCATGTCAGTCGTGTCATGTCAGTGGCTCTGGCCTTGGTAAGGCACTCCCTTGCTCCTCCACTCCTCCACTTGACTCTTAAACGCGCTTCCTTGTGTCCGTCCGTCCTTCTCCAGAATCTGTGAGTATGTGCGCTCCAATGAGCTCGTGTCCATGGCTCTGGCAATGGCGGGTTAAGGGTTTCGGGTTTTTGGGGTTCAGGTTTTCCCTGCTGTTCTCTTGCTCGGCATGCTCCCTTGTGACGGTCCGTCTCCAAGATCAGCGACTACGTGTGCTTTTTTTTAAATTCTCAAAAAACAATGAGCTCGCCTTTAAGGCACTCGCGTTATGATCATCTTCTTCCCCACCCCCGTCATAATCACCCTCCAACAGGTGGCGGAGGACAGGGAGGTCAACCGCGTTTTGGAGGAGCTTTCCACTCCACCCCCGCTTTAGTCACCTTCTCCTCTCTTCCCCCCCCTCCCCTCTCCCCTCCTCCCCCCTCCCCTCTCCCCTCCTCCCCCCTCCCCTCTCCCCCCTCCCCTCTCCCCCCTCCCCTCGCCCCCCGTTACAATCACCCTTGAACAGGTGGCGGAGGACAGGGAGGTCAACCGCGTTTTGGAGGAGCTATTTTCAGAAGAGGTACGTGGAGGAGAAAAGGGGATGCTAGGTTGGGAGGGGGGAAATGGAGGGTGGGAGAAGTTGGGGGAGTTGGGGGGAAAACATTGGGTTGAGATTGTTCTGGGAAGAGGGGGGGGTAAGCGGGGAGGATGGGGGAGGATCTGTCCATCTTCCATTTACACCCCTCTGCATCTCTCTGCACCGCACTGCACCCATCCATGCCAACCCCCCACCCCCCCCAGGGCAACGAGATGTACATCCGGCCGGCAGAGCTCTACCTGACGGACGGGGAGGAGCTGTCCTTCTTCCCTCTGCACCCATCTACACCCCTTTGCACCCCTCTGCACCCATCCGTGCCACTCCCTCCACGGCAACGAGATGTACACTCGGCCTGCGCATGGAGATCATCATCGGCTACCGGCTCCCACACCAACCACCGGTGCACTCATTTCCCCCCCTCTGCACCCCTCTCCATCCATCTGCACCCATCCAGGGCAACAAGATATATATCCACCCAGCAGAGCTCTACCTGGCGGACGGGGAGGAGCTGTCCTTCTTTGAAATGGCGGTGTGGGCCCGCCAACGCATGGAGATCATCGTTGGCTACCGGCTGTTTACAGAGCTCCCTCTGCACCCCTCTGCACCCCTCTGCACCCATCTGCACCCATCCATTCCCCTCCCTCTAAACCCCTCCAGGGCAACGAGATGTATATTCGCCCAGCGGAGCTGTATCTCACAGACGGGGAGGAGCTCTCGTTTTTCGAAGTCGCAGTGCGGGCCCGCCAGCACATGGAGATCATCATTTCATCGGCTACTGGCTCTTCACTGAGCTCCCTCTGCACCCCTCTGCACCCCTCTGCACCCATCCATTCCCCTTCTCTCTTCCTTTCAGGGCAACGAGATGTATATCCGCCCAGCCGAGCTCTACCTGACAGATGGCGAGGAGCTCTCGTTTTTCGAAGTGGCGGTGAGAGCACGCCAGCGCATGGAGATCATTATTGGATACCGGCTCTTCACAGAGGACGAAGCAGTTCTGAACCCGCCTGACAAGGCTGAAAGGCGCACCTGGTCGATTCAAGACACCTTCATCGTTCTCTCGTTCAACGAGTAGTCGCGGCTTTTTGTTCTCGGCTTTCCAGGCGCCTCATAGCCGGAGCTTACCACACGAAGCTTACTTGGTGACTTTTGAGTCGACTCAGGAGCTTTCAAAGCTCACAAACTACTAGAATCTGAGTACTGTACCGACTAGTAAAGGAGGATGGGGGGTAGTGCTTCTGAACAAGGCCGAAAGATGCGCCTGGTCCATCCAAGACATGTGAGTCATTTTGAAAATCGGCCCGACGGGTAGCAGGCATGGATTGGTACACCATACACATTCTTTTGCTTTTCAATGGAGTGCAGCAGCCAGTGTGCTTGTTTGCTAGCTATCCTGGGGAAGGGCGTGTTTCTGGGTGTAGCCTCCCCTGCGAAATATGGTTGTGCTGGGTTTAGGGTAGTGCTGAAATAAGCAACTATGGGTAGCCTCTTTACGTAGGTGACTTGCACACTGGGTTTCTCCCCTAGGCCTGGACGTCTGACTTACACCCATCTACCCAGTGGTACACAGGAGCAGTGGACAGCAAGTTGTGTGAGGTTGTCTCCGTGAGGTACCTGGCATCGGGTATGGCGGTTCTGTGCGGCGCAACAAAGTGTTCTCTTGGCATTTCTCTCAATAATATTGAGTTGCACGTAGTACTACTTGAAGCAATGGATTGCTCATTGTTACTACATTATGGCAAATGTAGCCAGCAGCACTGCTGTCACTCACCCACTTCATACACCACTTTCTCCTTTCTCCCTCCTCCAGAGCTACCGCCCTCCCCTCCCCTACCACCATCAGCATCAGCATCACCATCAGCATCAAAATCTGAATATTTGGAATCCTTTCGTCCTCTGCCCTCTGCAGCACCATTACCACCACCAGCTCTCCCAACCCTACCTCTTCTATCCTCTCCCGAATTGACGTCAGCCGCTTTCCTGTGCATCTGCAGCATCAATCTGCAATCCGCTAGCGCTTTCCCTCTCAGTCCCCCGCATTTGGAGCTTTCTCCATCATCCATGGATATTGCGAAGTAAAGGTAAATCGTACACAGGACCGCTAGGATCGCCATTGTCGTTAGCAGATACTGATGCCGAGCCACCAAGGCCCGGAAAGACAGGTCCACTTGTGCCGAGCCTGGCGGCTGCGGCTTCAGACGATATTGGCTCTGGAGCCGGCTTCCGGACCTAATTGCTAGGTTCCCTTGCTGCGGAGATCGTAAGTGACGCTCGGAAGGGAGGAGGTTCGGAGAGGTTGGGAGGAGGGAGGGAGAGAGGGAGGATCCCGGAGGGATGGACGTAGGAAGCTTCGGATCTAAGGGGGGGCTGGTGATTCCGTGTCGCCTATAGACGTCCTTAGAAGCTGTGGAGTATGATGACGTGGCAGTTGGGGAGGTTGGATCGTTGGGATCCGCGTTGCTGGCCGATCGGCTCGCCATGGTTGCGTTGCGAATAACGGACCTCCGTCGACAGCGTCGAAAACCTAAATCAAATCTGGATCCCTAAGTCCAGGAAAATCAGTTTCACGCACGTGAAGAGTAAGGTTGTGCTAGGATGGCCATGTGACAAAGAGCGTGGAATATTGATGGCGGATGAAATGAGTGGGCTGGTGGAGCGACGAAAAGGACTCTCAGGGCGTGTTCTAGCTTTGTTAGCTGGCACCCAACTCGTGTTGACTCCTGCTTTGGCACGGTTGGTCTTGCTGCACCCTCGAGATTACCTTAGGCCCATCCCAAACCCTCAGTACCAGTGTCAAATTTTGATAATTGCTTCAGCTTCGTAACGGTTATCTTTAGGTACTGTAGAGTAGCTGTACTGTATCTCAAAAGTTGGGCACTTCAGGAATCAGGGAAATGGCTTTTGTGGACATCGAGAATGACGAGAGCAGATGACATGGGTATTCTCGCAGCGAATCATCTACTATAGCGTATAATATGCTGGACCACCACTGCCAAGCTTCTTTTTCAGTCGAGATTATCTGATACTGTACTGTAAGGATACCCAGAACGATACACAAGAACCAAAACGACACACAAAGCCAATGGTAGTTAGCAGTCACTGTTCGTGGGACTGTCGTTGAGTGCCGTTTTCTCGTCGCCCACAGTCGTATGATAGGACCAACCGCGCAACGCGCCGCATTGGATTCCCAATGCCTAGTGCATGCTATTTCCGATAATAATGGTATTTACGTATTATATTACTGCTAATAGCACTCTGCCTTTTAGTCCAATCCTTCAAACGGCCTTTTCGGTAGTGCATTTGCTATCTGTGCCACGTCGCGTTTACTCCTTGAGCGAAAGCTCTCCATTTGAAGCTTTGCCGAGCCACACCATGCCGAGCTTAGCCAGGCATGGCATCCCCACCGCAAGATTCCCCCAGAGCAGGGTTACCGAGCATCTCCTTCCCTCTCTCCTCACCACGCCTACACTCACCACTCCGAGCCTCATCATTCCGAGCCTCGCCGCTAGGAGCCTCTCCGAGTCTAAAATCCCCGAGCCATGGACCTCTCAGCAGGAGACACAGCGGACGGCTAGGATTGCCCGAGATGGAAACCGAGACGTTGGAAGGGAAGCTGCAGATTTTGGAGATACAGCGACAGCTGAGCGCCGTCCGATGTCAGGCGTTCATGCAAGCCCTAGATTCCGCGATCCTGCTAGATGCTGCTGCTGACGTGGCCGTTGCTGATGCTGACGTGGCTTTTGCTGATGCTGACGCAAGTGTTGTTGCTGCTGATGTGGCTGATGAATCTGCTGCCGTGGGATTCGCGGGAGCAACAGAGCACTCATGCCAGGCGACCATGCCGGCCGGAGAGAAGGCTTATTCGGGAGAGAAGGCTTATGCAGGGGAGGAGCCTGCATTTGCGGCAGACAAGGCTAAAGCGCCTGACAGGTTTTATACGGCAGAGAAGGTCCATTCAGGAGAGAAGGCCGTGTCGCGGCCGTTGGCGCGTGGAATATCGCTGGATGCGAGTTATAGATGGCGAACAGGGTTGGGTGTGGGGTCGGACATGGGGGATACGGGGATGGGGATGGGGATGGGAATGGGAATGGTGACGGGGATGGGGTTTGATATGAACGTTTTAAGGGACGATTTTGAGAAGAGTGGTGAGAGTGAATGGGTTCCAAAAGGAGCTCCTAGAGGGGATGTTCTTATAACGAGTATAACGAGAGATGCTGGTTTAGCAGCGGATGCCGCTTCTACTGAAGCCACTGTTTCAGCAGCACAGGAGGGCAGGCGAAGAGGGAGGAAAGGAGGGGCAGGAAGAGGAGGAGAAGGAGGAGGAGCAGCGGGAGTAGGGGGAGCAGGAGGAACTGACTTCTCAACCTCCACGTCATCCTCAACGTTCCTGACGTCACCACCCTCTCTGTCCTCGTCATCGGCCACGTCAGCCGCAGCAGAGTTTTCCGCCATGTCAGCAACGCTGCCAATGACGACAGCAGCAGGAAGTGCCAGAGGCAAGCCTACTCGCCGATTAAGAGTCAGAAAAGCGTCTCTAGACTTTAAGGGGGACTGGAGCGTAGGAGGTATGGGAGGGTGGGGGGAGGAAGATGGGGGTAAAGGAGGGCGAGGAGGAGGAGCGAGAGAGGGAGGTGGGGGTGGGGGTTTTGCTGTAAGAGGGTTTGGTATGGGTGGGTTTTCAGGGAGGTCTATGCTCCCCCCTCGCTCCCCCGGGCCAAGAGGGGAATCCCCGTTATTGAGTGCTGCTGCCCCAGTCTCGAGTGTCCCGTTATTGAGTGCTCCACCACAGAGAGGCGGTGCCGTGCCTGCTGCTGCCATACCTGTTGGAAGGGGGCAGGAAGGGGGCGTGGAAGCCAGAACGCTGGACCAATCGGAGGCGAGAGAATCTAGCCAATCAGAGGGGAGAGGGGGCAGCCAATCAGAGGGCAGGGGGAGCAGCCAATCAGAGGGGAGAGGGAGCAGCCAATCAGAAACGAGCGGGGCAAGTGAAAGGGAGGGAGCAGACTGGGGCGGCTTATCTGCTGGACGGGAGAGAAACCGTTTTCCACAGAGCATTCAGCAGCCACTGTATCAGCGCTCGCCACGTCAGCACTCGCCTTATCTGCATTCGCCACGTCAGCATCAAGAGAAAGCACCGTCAGGCCTATCAGGATTGGGTGTGGAGGAACTGGAAAGCCAGAGCAAGCAGTTGTGGCAAGAGGAAAGGGGGTTCTCTTCGGGGGCAGCAGGCCACACAGCAGGCCACACAGCAGGCCACACAGCAGGCCACACAGCAGGCCACACAGCAGGCCACACAGCAGGCCACACAGCAGGCCACACAGCAGGCCACACAGCAGGCCACACAGCAGGCCACACAGCAGGCCACACAGCAGGCCACACAGCAGTCCACACATCTGGCCACCTATCAGACCGCCTATCGGACCGCCTGTCAGATCGCCTATCGGACCGCCTGTCAGATCGCCTATCGGACCGCCTATCGGACCGCCTATCAGACCGCCTATCAAACCGCTTATCAAACCTTCCACTATCAGGCTCGTCTAGATCGGAATATGAGGAGCAGGAGAAGCAGGTGGGGTGGGAGGAACGGGGGGAGTGGGAGCAACGGGAGCAGCGGGAGGAGCAGGAGGCGCAGGAGGAGAGGGATGAGCGGGAGAAGCAGGTGGAAAGGTTTCGACACATGCTGATTGCTCTGGGTATAGGGAGGCGAGATGGGGGTTTGGGAGGGCATGCGCAGGGGCAAGGGCAGGGGCAGGGGCAGGGGCAGGGGCAGGGGCAGGGGCAGGGGCAGGGGCAGGGGCAGGGGCAGGGGCAGGGGCAGGGGCAGAGGCAGGAGAACAAGCAGGGACAGGAGGAGGTGCCCAGGGGTGAGAAAGAGCAGGAGAAAGGGAAGGTACAACAACCTATCGCCTGGGGTGATGCCATTTGGAATCGTGGTGCTGCTGCTGCTGGTGCCACTTCAGCTGCTGCTGCTTCATCTGCGGCTGCTTCTAGGGGCATACCACCCACCGCTCCACCACAGCAGCAGCAGCAGCAGCAGCAGCAGCAGCAGTGGCGGCAGTGGAGGGATTTCGAATCACCGCCTTCATCAGACTATGACACCTCCTCCTCCGATGCCTCCCTCTTCCTGCAGTCCCGCTCCCACGCACGCTCCCTCGCCCGCGCCCAAGCCCGCACTAAAGCGTGCGCACCTGCTGCCCGTGCACCTTCCACCCATGCACCTGCTACCCATGCACCTGCCACGAGTGTCACTGCTGCTGTTTCTATGGATGCTGTTATGAGCACACCTGCCAGTGCTGCTGCTGCTGGTGCTTCATCCGTGCTACAACCACGCTTTGAGACGTCTCAGAAGAACTCGTCTGCAGCAGCTGCAGTTTCAGCCGTGCTACAGCCGGGTTCCCAACCGTCCCAAGTCTCGTCTACCGCAGCTGCTGCTACAGCTGCCATGCTACAACCGCTTTACCAGCCGTTTGCAACCTCGTCTGTAGAGGCTGCTGCTACAGCTGCCATGCTACAGCCGTGTTACCAAACGCTTCAAACCTCGACTGCAGCTGCAGCTGCAGCTGCTGCTACATCCGAGCTACAACCTCCATCTCGCCTTGCCAGTGGCAGGCAGTTATCTCTGGACTTGGGCAAGAGTAGCAAGTGGGGTGCGGAGGAGTGGAAAGGGGTGCTGGAGGTTTGTGCAGGCGTGGGGGTTGAGAAAGGGTTGGCTGGAAATGGAAATGCGAGCATTTCTCTGGGTGTGGGTTTTCTTGGGCTTGAGAGTTTGGGGCTGGTTGGGAGTGGGGAGAAGGGCGGAGGGGAGGGTGGAGAGAAGGGTGGAGGAGAGGGTGGGGAGAAGGGTGGAGGAGAGGGTGGGGAGAAGGGTGGAGGAGAGAGTGAAGGGAGGGGCAGAGGTAAGGGTGAAGAGAAGGGGGCACCTACTGCTGCTGGTGCAACTGCTGCTGCTGTTTCTGGTCCCTTAGCTGCTGTTGCTGCTGGTGCTGCCCCTTCTGCTGTTGCTGGTGCCGCTGCTGCTGCTGCTTCTGTTGCTTCTGCTACCTCTGCCTCTGCTGCTGGTGGAAGCAGCGCAGGGGCGTATTTCGAATCCCCGCCATCATCAGACTACGAATCTTCCTCCTCCGATGCCTCTCTCTTCCTCCGCACTCGCTCCCACACCCGCTCCCACACTCTCTCCCACACTCTCTCCCACCCTCGCTCCCACAATTGCCCCCCCTCACTTGCCCAGACCCACCCTCCCTTTCCCTCCCATACTCGTACTCAGACCCCCACCCACTCCCACACTCACTCTCACTCCCACTCCCACACTCACTCTCACTCTCACTCCCACACTCACTCTCACTCCCACAGTCACACTCCCTTCCACACTCACACTCAAGGTCGTTCTATTCCCGCTCGCCTTTCACTACCCGCTTTAGCCCCGACCGTTCCTTTGAACCAGCATCTCCCAAATCCCGACGGATCAACTGGCATGGACCAGCAACCTCCCAGTCAACCCAGTCAAGCCAGTCAATCCGGGTCAACTGGAGTAAGACGTCCTACAGGGGGCCGTCATGCCCGTTCATTTTCAGGCACACTCACTTACAGCCCTGTAGCACACCTGTCCCCACCATCGCACCCCCCTGCCGCCGCTGCTCCTCCTGCTCCTCCTGTCGCCCCTGCTTCTGCTGCCCCCATTCCATCCGGATCCACAGGGGTTAGAAGACCTACAGGGGGCCGGCATGCACGCTCGTTCTCAGGCACTGTTGCTTACAGCCCTCGCTACAGCCCTCGCTACAGCCCTACAGCGCACCTGTCCCCACCAACTCCTCCCCCTGTTGCTGCTGCTGGTATAGACCAACAGGCCCCCAGCCTCCCCGGGTTATCTGCTACAGACTATTATCCCCCCTGTCAAGCCAGTCAAGCAATTCAAGCGAGTCAAGCGAATCAAGGCGGGTCAACAGGAGCAAAACGACCAGTAAGGAGCCGGCATGCTCGCTCTCTCTCCGGCTCTGTTGCTTACAGCCCTCACTCCAGCAGCTTCCCAGGGCTTTCTGGCTCTGGTTGTTCTCCCCATTTCTCCCGCTCACGCACGCATGGGTTTCCGAGCAAACCTCCGATGTCACCCAGCGCGTCGCGGGGTGCTTTGGGTGGTAACCCTTGGGTAGTGGCTAGGGCAGAGGCAGCAGCAGCAGCAACAGGAGGAGGAGGAGGAGGAGGAGCAGGAGAATCAGCAGGGGTAGGAAGAGCAGGAGTGGGAACAGGAGCAGCAGCAGCAGGAGCAGCAGGAGTAGGAGTGCGAGCAGGGGCAGGAGCAGGAGGAGCGGCAGGATTAGCAAAGCCGATGCTACCTCCAGGCACAGCCTTAACCACAGGAGCAGCAGCAACACGTGCAGGGGAAGGAGTGGGAGAGAACGGAGGAGTGGGAAGCAGTGCAAAAGGAGCAGGAATGGGTTCTGTGAGACGCAGGCAGCCTGGGCGTTTGATGGCTGCTAGGCGGCTATCTTTGGATTTAAACAACGAAGGGGTGTTTGGGAGAATCGGTTGGGAGGAGTGGACAGGGAAACCCCTCGTTGTGGGTAGGCCCGGGGAGGGAAGGGAAGGTGGTGTGACTAAAGGGAAAGAGGGAGGGGATGGTGGTGTGATTAGAGCGAGGGAGAGAGATGATGGAACTCAGAGGAGGGATGATGCACAAGCAGAAGAAGTCCTAGATGAAGGGGGAGATAGGGATGGGGACTTACACAGAGGAGGAAGGGAGGAGGGAGGAGGGGGTGGGGAGGGGACTCTAAGGAAGGAGAGAGCAAAGCGTTGCGACAAAAATCCGGAGGTGCTGCAACGAAGCTTCCACAGAGCTTCGGAGGTTCCTGCGGCTGCGGTGTCTCAGCAATCCTGCCATGCAGTTTTGTTGCCTTGTGATTCAGTGGAAAATGCTGCTCCAAACGCCCCTGGCAGCAACACAGGCGATAGAGAGAGTTTGACTGGTTGCGTAACCGACCGCAAGAGCGGCAGAAGAAGTGGCAGCAGCAGTGGCGGTAGCAGCAAGCCCATTCGTCCCCCTGTGAGGCATGCGTCTTTGAATCTGAGGCATGCTGTGAATGAGTGGAGGGAGGGGCAGGAGGGGACGGATGGGAGGGAGGGGAAGGAGGGGAGGGAAGGAGGCAGGGAAGGGAGGAAAGGGAGAGAAGGGAGGGAAGGGAGGGAAGGGAGAGAAGGGAGTGGCAGCAAGAGTGGGAGCAAGACTGAAAGCAAGACTGGCAGCAGCAGTGGCAGTAGCAGGTTCCTACGCCCCCCTGTAAGGCATGCCTCGTTGAATCTGAGAGATGCTGTGGATGAGTGGAGGGATGGGCAGGAGGGGAAGAAAAGGAGTGGCAGCAAGGCAGAGAGCAAGAGTGAGAGCAAGGCTGGCAGTGGCAGTAGCAGGCCCATGCGTCCCCCTGTAAGGCATGCCTCGTTGAATCTGAGAGATGCTGTGGATGAGTGGAGGGATGGGCAGGAGGGGAAGAAAAGGAGTGGCAGCAAGGCAGAGAGCAAGAGTGAGAGCAAGGCTGGCAGTGGCAGTAGCAGGCCCATGCGTCCCCCTATAAGGCATGCCTCGTTGAATCTGAGAGATGCTGTGGATGAGTGGAGGGATGGGCAGGAGGGGAAGAAAAGGAGTGGCAGCAAGGCAGAGAGCAAGAGTGAGAGCAAGGCTGGCAGTGGCAGTAGCAGGCCCATGCGTCCCCCTATAAGGCATGCCTCGTTGAATCTGAGAGATGCTGTGGATGAGTGGAGGGATGGGCAGGAGGGGAAGAAAAGGAGTGGCAGCAAGGCAGAGAGCAAGAGTGAGAGCAAGGCTGGCAGTGGCAGTAGCAGGCCCATGCGTCCCCCTATAAGGCATGCCTCGTTGAATCTGAGACATGCTGTGGATGAGTGGAGGGAGGGTCATGAGGGGAAGGATAAGAGGGAGGTTAGGGACAGGGAGCACGATAGGATGACAGCATGTAAAATCCGTCCTTCCAAGGCTTTGCGCCCCCCTGTTAGGCATGCCTCTCTTGACATGCGGCGAGCGGTGGACGAGTGGAGGGAGGTGCAGGAGGGGAGGGAGGGGAGGGAGGGGAGGGAGGGGAGGGAGGGGAGGGATGGGAGGGAGAGGAGGGATGGGAGGGAAGAGGACGGGCAGGACAAAATAACTGAGCTGGTTACGAGGGAGTTACAGTGCCAAGGCAGTCGATTGTTTGAGTCGACTCTCGAGTCGACTAAAAGGTTAGAGGGTCAAGGTAGCCGGTCTCTTGGGTCGACCCTTGATTCGATTCAAAGGTTAGAGGGTCAAGGAAGCCGATCTTTTCCTGAGTTTCTGAAGCCACAACAGCCATGGGACTTGGATCTTTCAGATTCCGAGCTTTCAGGGCCGGAACTACCTGGATTAACCCCTGGCGGTGGTGCTCCTGCTGTGGCTGCTGCCTCTGCTGCCTCTGCTGCAAGGACTAGCGTTGACTCGTTTGACTTTCTTGGAAAGCCGGTTGTGAAATCGAGAATCGCGCTGATCAAGGAGAAGAAGAAGAAGGAGGTGGGGCTTGAGATTGTTCATAAAGAGAAGAAAAAAGAAAAGGGGCGGATTGGAAGGCAGAGGTCGCTGGATGCAAGGGGCAGGGGGGCACTGGGAAGAGGAGGGTCGTGGGACTTGGGAGGATGGGATGAGGGAGCACAGAGAGCGGGCACATTGCAAATCGATCCGATTTTGGGCCTTGAGTTGAATCCTGCACGTGATTGGGGTGTTACTTCAGAAGATTTTGAAGAATCGGAGAATCCTGGTTTTAATCTTGGGCGTTTTGAGAAGCCTAAGAACATAGGTTTTGGTCTTGAGCGTTGTCAAGAGGCGTCTCTTATAGGGGATGGTGGTGTTTTGTGGCAGGGCGAGAACGAGGGTCAAGTAGACAGGGGAGCTGGCAGGGGAGGTGAGGGAGGGGAGTGGGGGGAGAGGAGACAGCGAGACAGGCAGCTAGAGAGGCTAGGTCGACGGGGGTCGTTGGATCTCGGCAGGAGCATGGGGGGAGGGGAGGGTGGGAGAGGAGAGGGTAGGGGAGGCGGGCGGTGGGAGGGGGAGAAGAGAGTGGAAGAGTGGCTGTTCAAGTCACAAAGGGATGGTCAGATGTACCGCCAGTCTTCGGCTGCTTCTACTAGCGGTGCTGCCGCCGCCGCTGCTGCTGCTGCTGCTGCTGCTGGCGCTGGTGCTTCTACTGCTTCTGCTGCTGCTGCGGCTGCCGCTGCTGCTGCTGCCGCTGCTGTTGCGGTAGCTGGTAGGAGCAGCAGCGGTGTCAGATGGACAGAACTTCCTTCGAGTCCCTTGAAGAGCCCACAAACCACTCGTCCCCTTAGTAGCCGATTCGTTAAAAGCCCTTCGTTATCAAGCGCTTCCGTCTCAATCCCGTCGTATAACTTTCTCACCAGTAGCAATCCTGTCAACATTCCCAGAAGCCCGTCCTCTAGAGCCCGGTTCCCTGAAAGTTTCTCGCTTAAGAGCCCGCACTTAAGGAGCCCTAGCGCGTTGAGTCCTGGTCTTATCAGCCCGGATTTAAGGAGCCCTGGTCTTAAGGGTTCGCACGTAAAAAGCCCTGGTGTTTGTAGCCCGCACTTACGGAGTCCTACTAGTGCTATACGCCCTCTTTCCAGGAGCCCTTCCACAAGAAGCCCTTGTGCGAAGACCTCCTTGCGTAGAGTAATGCTGCTAAATGCACCTGAGGTCTCTGCACCTCCTGCTGCTGCTGCCGCTGTTGCTGCTGCTGCTGGTACTGATACCGGTCCTGCTGTTGGTGCTGCTGCTGCTGCTGCTACCAGTGATGCTGCTGGTGGTGGTGGTGCTGGTGCTGCTGCTGAGCTCCTTGAGAAAGCACCTGAGGGGCTGAGCACTCGAAAGAGGCTGGGCGGAAGGCAGGCGTCTCTTGATCCCAGGAGTCTAGAGATAGGGAAGCAGAGGGTGGTGACGATGAGAGAAGGGGAGAGGAGGAGTGGGGAAGTGAGAGGGAGAGGTGGGAAGGAGGAGAGGGGAAGAAGAGGGGAGGAGAGAGGGAGGGGAGGAGAGGTGAGGGTAAGGGGAGTAGAGGAGAGGGGAGGAGGAAGCGAAGTGGTTGATTTGCTGGTGCAGGAGGGGCGGCGGCAGCAGCAGCAGCTGAAGAGGGAGCACCAGGACCAGGAGCAGAGGCAACAGCAGCAGCAGCAGCAGCAGCAGCAGCAGGTGACGGGGAAGCAGCAGAAGAACCAGGAGCAGAGGCAGCAGCAATTAGGCCGGCACAGATCCCTTGATCCATGGGCCTTCAACCGTGCCGTAGATGATAGCAGGGAAGCTACAAACGAGGATAGAAGGGAGGTTCTAAACGAGGGTAGCAGGGAGGTTACAAACGATGCTAGCCAGGAGGTTACAATCAAGGATATCAGGGATGCTACAAATGAGGATATCAGGGTTGGTGTTGAAGCTGCAAGGGAGGAGGAAACATGGAGGAAACACATTTTCCAACTCCCTTCAGATAGTGATTTCTCAGGGCCGGGAACTCCTCAGGCCACTGCTGCTGCTACAGCTGCTGCTGGTGCAGCCGCTGCTGGCCAGACTTGCGTTGACTCGTTTGACTTTCTGGGAAAGCCGGAGGTGAAGTCGAGAATTGCACAGCTCAAAGAGAAGAAGAAGAAGGAAGTTGGTTTCGAGATTCCTCAAAAAGTGGAGAAGAAGGGGCGGGGCCAAATGCAGAGCAACACTCCGCTACACAAGCAAAGGTCGTTAGACTCTCGAACCAAGGGAGGATTGCCTTTTCTTGCCACTGCTGCTGCTGCTGCTGGAAAGACCTTCATTGACTCGTTTGACTTTCTTGAAAAGCCTGTTGTACGGCAGTCCGTGATGGTCAAGGAGGGGAGATTTAGGCTGCCAATGGAGCGGCACGCTTCCCTGGATTCAAGGAGAGGGCTCCTGGATTTCAGGGAGGATTTGCTGGAATCAGGGGAGGAATTTCTGGATTTCAAGGATGATTCGCTAGATGTGAGGAAAGACTCTCCCTTGGATTTCAGCAGAGAATTTCGGGATGCGAGAAACGTTTTGCTGGATACAAGGGAAGAATCTTTAAGCCTCAGGGGGGGATTCCTGGATTTCATGGGGGAGGGAAAGGTTGGTAGGTTGAGGAGGAGGGGCTCGCTTGAAAGTGCGGGGGGCTCTAAGCAACATGCTTACTTAAACGTTGGTGGTGGGGAGGAGTGGGAGGATAGGAGCTTAGGACGAACAGGAGGGGGGCGGAGTCTGGGAAATCGACGGCAGCGGTCGCCGCTTGGGAGGAGGAGGTCGATGGGGGGAGGAGGGCTGGACGCTGCTTTGATTGTGCACGACCGGGATGGTGAGGGTCGAAAGGAGGATAAAGAGTGGGGAAAAGAGGGAGGGGGGCGGAGTTTGGGAAATCGACGGCAGCGATCGCCGCTCGGAAGAAGGAGGTCGATAGGGGGAGGAGTGGGGGGTCTGGGATTGGGCGTTGGTACTTTGGGGTTGGGAGTAGACGGTGGGGGCAGTGATGCTGGAAAGGAGGGGAAGGAGTGGGGAAGTGTGAGAGAGAAGCGACATTTGGGTAATCTAAGGCGCTCACCGTTAGGAAGGAGGAGGTCGATGGGGGGAGGAGGGATGGACGCTGCTTCTTTGGGGCTTGGGTTGAACAATGAGGACAATGCGGCTGGACTGGGTGCAAAGGAGTGGGGAGGAGTGGGAGAGAGGAGGCATTTGGGCACTCGAGGGCGCTCACCACTGGGGAGGAGGAGGTCGATGGGGGGAATGGGTGAGGTGGTTAGCTATTTATTGGCTGTGAGTGGGTGGGCTGATGAGGGTTCAAGAACGGGCGAGAGGCGGGGTGGTTCGAGACGAAAGTCTCCTCTGGGGTGGCGGAGGTCGGTGGGGGGGATGGGTGAAGTGGCTGATTTTTTATCGTCTGTGAGTGGGTGGGCTGATGAGGGTTTAGCAGGAACGGGACAGAGGCAGGGTGGTTCGAAGCATAGGTCTTTGCTGGAAAGGAGGAGGTCGATGGGGGGAATGGGGGCGGGAGGGACAGTCGACCCTTATTTATCCACTTCAAATGAAGAGGCTGAAGGTTCAGGAACGGGCGAGAGGCAGGGGGTTCTGAAAGGAAAGTCTTTGCTCGAAAGGAGGAGGTCGATGGGGGGATTGGGGGAGGTGGCTGGTTGTGTGTCAGCTCTGAGTGTGGGCGTTGAGGGTACAGGAAGGGGCAAGAGACAGGGTGGTTCGAGAGGAAGACCTTTCTTAGAAAGGAGGAGGTCAATAGGGGGAATGGGGGGAATGGAGCGGGAAGTTGACCATTTTTTGGCTCTAGATGAAGCAGGTGAAGAGGGTACAAAGACGGGCAAGAGGCAGGGGGGTTCGAGACGAAAGTCTCCTCTGGGGAGGAGGAGGTCGATGGGGGGAATGGAAGGCGTGGTTGAGTCCCATTTATCGGTTCTGAAACAAGCTGGTGAGGAGGGTACAGGAAAGAGTGAAAGGCAGAGGGGCTCGAGACGAAAGTCTCCACTAGGAAGGAGGAGGCCGATGGGGGGGAGAGCGAGTGCTGCTGCTTTCGTTTCGGCTGCTGAAGCAAAAGCAGAAATGGCAACTGATTCAGAAGCAGAATCTGGTGCAGGAGGAGCAGGTAACATGCACGAGGAGAGAGGGACGGAAGCCAAGACGACTTTTGAGGCGCCTCAAAAGTCGTCAGGTGGAGCAGGAGCAGGAGCAGGAGCAGGAGCAGGAGCAGGAGGAGGAGTAGCAGGTAAAATGCACGAGGAGAGTGGGACGGAAGGCCGGATGTTCCTTTGCCCCCCATTCAACCCCCCCTCGCTCGGGTTCTCTACTCTAAACCTTTCCCCAGAGCTCGAATATGATAAGCCGGTTTTGGAATCGACTCAAAAACAATTCCACTCCCCCTCGCTCGGGTTTTCTACTCTAAACCTTCCCCCAGAGCTCGAATCGGTAGGTTCCCCGGTCTGGGGCAATCCCAGCTGGGATTCCAGGAGAGATCCTTATAGCGAGGCTACTGGAGGGGCTTATAACAAGGCTACTGGAGGGGCTTATAACGAGGCTACTGGTGGGGCTTATAATGAGGCTACTGAAGGGGGATTGCGTCGGGCGAAGTTGTTTGTAGACTCGTCCCGTCGACATTCAGGGGAATGCTTTGAGTCTGATTCTGTGGATTCCCCAGTATGGGGCACCGTGGGGGGGCAGGGTTGTTCTGTCAGGGGGGATGGTGGGGGGAAAGCACATGGGAAGGCTTATAGGCCGGAAGAGCAGCGACAGGTGTGCAGAGAGGTATGCGGTGAGGAGTGCAGATCGAGGTGCGAAGAGGGGTGCAGAGTGGTGCGCAGCGGTGGTGCTAGTGGTGTTAGGGCTGTTTTGGATTCACATGACTCAGAATTGGCCGACTCGCCTGCGTGGGGAACAGTGAGTGGCGGAAGGAGAGTGGGAAGACGAGAAGGAGGAAGCGGAGGCGGGCTTACTTTGAATGTTCTTAAAAGTAATGCAGATGTTGCGGCGGGTGGTAGGGGGCCGAGATGGCCTGTTTTGGATTCGCACGAATCAGAATCGGCCGATTCGCCTGTGTGGGGGACGGTGAGTGGCGGCAGGCGAGGGGGAAGGCGAGAAGGAGGAGGAAGCGGAGGCGGGCTTACAGCAGATGCTTCTACTTTCGAGGCGTCTCGAACGAGCGGTGACGGGAAAGGGGGAATGAGAGGAGGAGGTGGAGGCGGGGTTACAGCAGACGCTGATGCAGTGTGCAACAGGGAACTGCGATGGCCTGTTTTGGATACACAGGAGTCAGAATCGTCCGATTCACCTGTGTGGGGGACGGTGAGTGGAGGAAGGAGAGGGGGGAGGACGGGTGAGAAAGGTGATGGTTTTACAGCAGATGCAGTGGGGGATGGTAGGAGAGGGGGAGGGAGAGGTGAGAGGGAGGGTGATTTTACAAGAGATGTAGTGGGGAATGGCAGGAGAGGGGGAGGGATGGGTGAGAGAGGAGATGGTTTTACAGCAGATGTCGTGGATGACGGCAGGAGAGGGGGAGGGATGGGTGAGAGAGGAGATGGTTTTACAGCAGATGTCGTGGATGACGGCAGGAGAGGGGGAGGAGTAACGTCTGATGCTGCAACTGCTGATGCAGCACCTGATGAAACACCTGATTATACATCACCTCATTATCCAACACTTGATGCAACATCTGATGCAACACCGGATGCTGCACCTGATGCAACAGTTAATGCAACACCTGATGCAACACCTTATGCTCCTGACGCTGCACCTGTTGCTGCACCTGAAGCTTTAGCCTCTGCTACCGTGATAGTTGTGAGTTGCTTTGATAGGGTTGGTGGGGAGACAGCGGGGGAGGATGGAAGGTGCGTGCGAGTCAGGAGCGTGGAGGAAGGAGATGAGGGAGGAGGGAAGGGGGGCGGGGATGGAGGAGAGGAGGGAGGAAGGGTGGAACGAGGGGAGAAAGAAGAGATGAGCACTGAAGCGACAGCTAAGGAGGTGAAGGAGATGGTTGAAATGATGGAGATAGCAGCTGCAGCAGCCAGAGAAATGCGGTCATATCCTACTGCTTGTGCACTCCGGACTGTTCAAATATCCACTGCTACAACTGCTGCTACCGCTGCTACAGCCAGTGCTGCTACAACCGCTGCTACAGCCGCTGCTACAGCCGCTGCCACAACCGCTGCCACGGGCCATCGTTCTTCTCCTCGCCATCCACCTCTTCCTCGTCCTCATGACTCTCATCAGCACCCTGTTTCCTCTGAGCGAGGTGGGGAAAATGTCTCCTCCCGTCCTCCATCCCCTCCACCGCGCTCCTTCCCCCCATTGTCCCCCACCTCCTATCCCCTCTCCCACCCGCATCCACCTCCCTCTCACCCCTCTCCTCCCTCTCACCCCCCTCCTCCCTCCAACCCCTCTCCTCCCTCCCATCACCGTTCCCTCTTCCGCACACTATCCACCTCTCTCCTCCCCTTCAGGCCCCCCTCCCTCATCCGAACCCTCTCCTCCTCCTTCTCCTCCTCCCCCTCCTCCTCCTCCAAACCTGTCATTCAAAGCTCTCGCTCTGCGTCTTTCCCCGGTCCTGCAATTCCCCCTCTCTCCTCGCCCTCTCCTGTGCCTTCTGCCTCTCCTCCGTTGCCTTCCGAGGCCCCTGCAGTTCCGTCTTCCTCTGGAAGAGGGAACAGCAACAGCAGAGTCAGCAACAGCAGCAGCACCACCGGCAACACCAGTGGCACCAGCACCAGCAACAGCAGCAGCAAAAGCATTGGCAGCAGCACCAGTAGCAGCAGCAGCAGCACCAGCAACAGCGGGAGCAGAAGCATTGGCAGCAGCAGCAGCGGCAGAAGGAGAGCTAGAACACGGAGCAACACCAACACTGCTAGCAACACCAACACTGCAAGCAGCACCATCTCTTCTATCACCACTTCTGCTAACAAACCCGCTTCTAACAATACCTCCACCTCTTCAAACAATATCACCACCAGCAACCGACTTCGTCGAACCTTCTCCTCCTTTTCCTTCCTTACTCAACACCCATCGCCCCTTCCTCCTCTTCTTCCTGTTCCGTTCCCTTCATTCCAATCTGTCACAACACCCTCTGTTACCCCTTCAGAAGTCACAACAATCTATACTCCCAGTACTTCTGGAAATGCCATGCCCACCGGCACAACTCCTGAAGGTTACAGCGTGACTGAGGCTGTTGATGGTGCTACAGCCGCTGCAGCTACAACAGACGCTTCTTCTTTAGCAGCTTCTGCCACAGCCGCCCCAGCTGCTACAGCTGCTGCAACAGCTGGTGCTACAACTGCTTCTGCTGCTACAGCCAGCGATGCTGTTACAGCCGGCGCTGCTGTTACAGCCGGCGCTGCTGCTACAGCCGGCGCCAGTCCCTTGTATCGTAGCTTCTCCCTCTCTGCTTCCTTTGCAACCCTCCGCCGCACCACCTCCAGCTCCTCTTTATCGCTCTTCACCTCTCACCTTCCCTCTGGTGCTTCCTCCTCTTCCTCCTCCTCCTCCTCCTCCTCCTCCTCCTCCTCCTCCTCCTCCTCCTCCTCCTCCTCCTCCTCCTCCTCCTCCTCCTCCTCCTCCTCCTCCTCCTCCTCCTCCTCCTCCTCCTCCTCCTCCTCCTCCTCCTCCTCCTCCTCCTCATCACTTCTCCATTCCCGGTCTATCCGACGGAAGTCAGAGAGTTATAAGGAGCGTGCCGCCGTGTCCACACACCAACCTGCTGTCAACCCATCCTCCTTATTACCATCCTCGTTATTACCATCCACATCCCGGCGTGCGTCTATTGATATGCCCGAGCTGGGTGCATCGCTTTTAAGATTGCCGAGCCTTTCTTCTTTGCTCCGCCAATGGAAGGAAGGCAATGTCTCGTGTAGCGACAAAGAGGAGGATTTACCCTAAAATTACTGTGAGGACGAAGGTGTCTAGTCAAGCAAGTCTGTCTGTTATGGCTGAAAATTTAGTCCAGCTAGAGTTACGAGATTATGTATATTTTGTGTGTTATCTGTATGTCATAATGGCACTAAAATTTCTAGCAAATGCAAGCGTATGCTTGTACCTTGAACAGAGACCAGGAGGAATCAGCCATCAACAAGGATAATCAATTTTCAAATGCTAATGGTTTTTTCTTCCGATTGATTTTGTAAGGTGTTCGAATATCTGTCAAAACCTTCGGAATTCTAAACCAGCCAACCTTCTGAAACCGTCTGATGCCGATTTCAACCGTTTCTTTCCTCCGAGGAATAAACATGAGCTACGTTATTCCTCCCCTCGGTTCCCTCCAATCCCAGTGTTTCTCCTACGTGTTTCGACGATTTTTTAGGCGACTAGCCGCGAAGCTTAGGCAGGCCGCCAGGAAACGCTTCTAAGCGTGCGTACGAAGCAATATGACCGTTTGTCTTGCGTATGCCACTGGGAAGGTCCCACCTCACATTCCTCTGATCGAGTATACCGCGTGTACTCGCTATAGTGGTACGCAGCGTCACTGTAGCTTAAAATGCAGCACCTTTCCAGCGAGGATGTCCTGGTCGGGTTGTCTACAGGAGAATCGTTATCCAATTTCTAGCAACATCATCGCTGACGTCAGCTTAGGTTCACAGGCTCGGCGGAGAAATGTGACTGTTCCTGCGAGGAAGCGGCGCGTCGTACCAGTTACAGGCCAGGACCGCAGCAGCGCGGATGCGAATGTGATTCCAGCGAGATGTGACTGTCCGTGGTGCTTTCCCGCTGCTTCTTCTTCTCCTGCTACTTCTTCTGCTACTTCTTCTGCTACAGTCTCGAAGAGGACGCTTATTGTAACAACAGCGACGGGAGGCTCTGTGAGACGAAATCGGGTAACGGAAGGTGATGGAGTTTCGGGAAGGATAGATCGGAGGCATGCTGGTGCTGCAGCGGGAAATGATGGAGGGGAAACAGAGGAAGGACGCGAGCAGGCAGAGGGAGGAGTGGGAAACGGTCGAGAGGGGTATGGAGGCTCGGAGGTCAAAGCAGAGACGGAAGGGGAGAGGAGAGGGGGAGCGAGTGAGGGGGGGGTGGGGGAGAGGGGAGCGGGGGCTTCGGAGGAACCTCGGGCTTCTCTTGCCGTGGAGCTCGCGGTTCGAATCCTCAAGTGCTACAAACGTGAGTTGTGACGGGTCGAACGTGACTGTAAGGAGGGGAAGAGGGCAGATGAGGCGAGTGAGAGGAGAGGCGGGGAGGGGGGGGTGGGGGGGTGGCCTCTGACGAGTCTTAACCTTTTCCTGCCGTGGAGCTGGCGGTTCGAATCCTCAAGTGCTACAAAACGTGAGTTGTGACGGGACCCGTATGTCTGGTTGTTCAAGGAAAAATCTGACATTGCATGCTCTAACTTGTCAGTATCCTTTCCCTGTTCCTTTTCCATCCACCTCCCTATCATGTCTTCTCTCCTCATCCCACTTCCCCTCCTGGTCATAAATTCAGGAAATTCGTTTGGAATCCATCCCACATGCAGCAAATGCTCAGTTATGTTCTTCCACCCACTCCCTCTCCACTCCACTCCTCATCCCCGCAGGAAATGTCCCTTCCCCCTAGATTTCCTGCTTCCCGTCGTTTTGAGGGGAAATTCCCCACTTATTTCCAGCCTCCTCCTGCTTGATGATCCCCAGATGCAAGAGAATTCAGTCGTGCCTCGTGAGACGTCCACTCACTCCCCTTCCTCTCCTCCTCCACTCCAACCCCACTTTCCCGCCTGCAGGGGAGATTCCCCCTGAATCCCAACATCCTGTCACTCTGAGAAGAAATCCCCCCCTGCATTCCAGCCTCCTGCTGCTGGTTGATGAATCACAGATGCGGGAGCATTCAGTCATGACTCATCCCGGCCACTCACTCCCCTTCCTCTCCTCCTCCACTCCACCCCCAGGGGAGATCCCTGCTGAATCCCAACATCCTGTCACTCTGAGAAGAAATCCCCCCCTGCATTCCAGCCTCCTGCTGCTGGTTGATGAATCACAGATGCGGGAGCATTCAGTCATGACTCATCCCGGCCACTCACTCCCCTTCCTCTCCTCCTCCACTCCACCCCCAGGGGAGATCCCCGCTGAATCCCAACATCCTGTCACTCTGAGAAGAAATCCCCCCCTGCATTCCAGCCTCCTGCTGGTCCCTGCTCCCCAGATGCAGGAGCATTCAGTCATGACTCATCCCAGCCTCAGTCCACTCACTCTTCCATTCCACCCCCACTTCCCCTCCTGCAGCAGGGGAGATTCCCCCCCTGGATCCCAGCCTCCTGTTACTGTGAGGGGAAATTCTAACCAGGGTTCCAGCCTCTTGCTGGCTGATCCCCAAATGCAGGAGTATTTAGTCCCTCTGACTCCTCACTCCTCCCTCCCGGGGAGATATTTTTAGGCGCCCCAAAATCCGCGCGCATTGAGGTGTATTTTGAGGCACCTCAAAATCCTTTCCAGGTTCCAGCCTCTTTCTGGCTGATCCCCAAATGCAGGAGTATTCAGTCCCTCTGACTCCTCACTCCTCCCTGTCGTGGAGATATTTTGGCGGCGCCTCAAAATCCTTCCCGGGTTGCAGCTTCTTGCTAGTTGATCCCCTAATGCAGAAATATCCAATCACTCTGACTCCTCACTCCTCCAGGGAGATTCCCCCAACGGTTCCAGGCTCATGCCGGTTCATCCCCACATGCAGCGAGTATTCAGTCATGGTCTTCCACTCAACCCCCTCCCCTCCTTTCTCCAGTTCAACCCCACTCTCATCCATGCAGAGGAGCTTTCCCCCGTGCCGGTTCATCCCCACGATCCCGGCCTCGTGCCGGTTCATCCCCACATGCACCCTGACTCATGTTTCGAAGGGCTGCAGTAGCAGAGAGGACGCTTAAGCAAAGGAACAAACAGTGAAAACTGGTGAAAAAACGCAGATCCCGGCCTCGTGCCGGTTTATCCCCACATGCAGCGAGTATTCAGTCATGGCACTGCGCAAGTACGGCCTTACTCATCGCCCCCTTCCAATCTGTTCTTCCCCTCGCCCCCCCCTTCCAATTCGGCCCCACTGTCACCCCTGCAGGGGAGATTCCCCCCTGGATCCCTGCCTCATAACGTTTCGCCCCTCCCCACCTGCAGCAAGTATTCAGTCACGGCACTGTGTAAATATTTATCTCATCCCCTCCCTCCCTCCCTCTCTCTCTTCCTCTCTCATTCCTTCAGGGGAGATTTCCCCCTGGATCCCAGCCTCGTGTCGGTTCGTCCCCACATGCAGCGAGTATTCAGTCATGGCACTGCGCAAGTACGGTCTTCTGAGAGGCGGGATTCTGACTGCATGGAGGTTGTTACGATGTAACCCTTTCGGTGAGGAATCTGTGTGTGTGTGTGTGTGTGTGTGTGAGTGTGTGTGTGTGTGTGTGTGTGTGTGTGAGTGTGTGTGTGTGTGTGTGTGTGTGTGTGTGTGTGTGTGTGTGTGGGTGTGGGTGTGGGTGTGGGTGTGGGTGTGGGTGTGGGTGTGGGTGTGGGTTTGGGTGTGGGTGTGGGTGTGGGTGTGGGTGTGGGTGTGGGTGTGGGTGTGGGTGTGGGTGTGGGTGTGGGTGAGGGTGGGTGTGTGGGTGTGTGGGTGTGTGGGTGTGTGGGTGTGTGGGTGTGGTGTGGGTGTGGGTGTGGGTGTGGGTGTGGGTGTGGGTGTGGGTGTGGGTGTGGGTGTGGGTGTGTGGGTGTGGGTGTGGGTGTGTGGGTGTGTGGGTGTGTGGGTGTGTGGGTGTGTGGGTGTGTGTGTTTTGGTGGTTATTGTGGTTTGCTGTCGTACAACACGTTTCACTGAAGGTGTCTGTTACGCTACAATTTTTGTCTCTCTATTTTTTTGCTACATGTTGGATCAAATTCTGTTTGCAGGTCCATCAGGCTATGATCCTCCGCGTTGGTTTGGGGAGCCTCCCCCGCCTTGTGTATAAATTAGCCTATTCAAGCCATGCCCCACAGCTCTACACTACAATGAACTACCGTATGTGCTCTTGGTAACGTCTTGTCCCTGTTTGCATGTTCCGTGTTTAGCAAGCATTGCTTATGGTGTACGCATATTACTGAAGTGACTGTAATGGGTGCAATTTATTGCTGAAGCTTCTTGCAGTTTCCAGCAGCTTCAGCTGGTCAGCACCGACAATCACTGTATCAATGTACGGTTCCCTGCAAGAAGTTGAGACCGAAGTCTCAAGTTTGCCCACCATGAAGTTTGCCCACCATAAGAACTTTTCGGAAGCTGATGGTGTCCAGGTTGTTGGAAACAATTAACTCTAAGCCCCTCTGTCGTGTCGAAACACCAAGTCAAAAGTAAAGCGAAGCACATCGAAGCACTGGCGAGTCAACCCTCGGAGGTTTAGCAGTTGCTGGAGGTTACGCGAAAGTCAAAGGTCAGCGACCTTTCACCTGACAGGTACAGCACGACAGCAACAACACACAATTGACTCTTTACAAAGCAGTTGCCCGAGTCGTCACGTCACTGTATCGAACTGCAACAGCAACAGTAAAACAGTTGGAATTGTATCTCTTCGTATTCCTTGTACTCTTCTGTACAATCTTGTATCTCTCTGCTTTAATTAATCAACTTTGCCCTCACATACTAGCACAAGGTGGTTCACAACTCTTCATTAAACGCTTCCGCTACTACATCAGTTGTACCTAGAGTTCACCCCTGCAAAGATCTCGAGGGCCATTTCTCAGCCCAACATGGTATGAGAGCTATCAGGGGGAATTCAACTATCAAGACACCTTCAACATCAGAAGACAT